TCAACAGCATCAACACCAGCACCATCTGGGCCATCCGCGAAACCGTACGCCCCCTCCCTCCCAAAACAACTTTTTTTTGTCTCACTAACAGCTAACAACCAGTTCGTCGCAATCATCGCCGTCAACGCCCCCTGCATCAAACCCCTCTTCAGCTCCTCCGTCTGGCTCGGCTCCTCCAAAGACCCCTCCTCCAAGAACGCCCATCGCTACGGCGGAAGCGGCAGCTACTCCCTCTCCGTTTTTGGCAAATCCAAACCCGATCCACTAGTTTCGCACACGAGTAAACTGGGCGACCACGCCAGCGACGAGTTCATCCTCCGCGAGCAGAGTCACAGTGGGCCGACCTACGTTAATGATGTGAGTGGTGGTCATGGTCAGCACATGGATGAAGAGTCGGGCAAGTTCACCGAGGGAGGGATACAGGTTACCACAATGTATGAGGTGAAAACGGGAAGGGCGTAGGTGGATAGAAGGAGGGATCGTTTTCAGAGGGATGTATATTATTGATACCTACTGGCCTCGGCGGCTCATTTTCTTTGTATGTCCGTACAATATGACTTTTTAGAGATTTAGCATGCAGATCCAATTTTCAGTCTTACATGATGTGTGAGTAGGAGTAGATCGTCTATGTCTCGGACTTGGACCGAGGTTTATGTCCCAACTTTGGTAGATGGATATACGAGGCCACAAGTAACTGGGGGGCTTTCACATGCGAACTAGTTTCCGAAATTTGTACCCACAGCAAATCAGAGATGTCAGGGGAAAATAGGAGATTTACATAAAATTAAAAATAAAGGTAACCGCGATTAAGGAGTACTGCCACAGCCAAGGAACAGTTCGGAAAAAAAAAAAAAAGGGCTAAGCGTGGATCGAACACGCGACCTTAAGATTTGCAATCTCACGCTCTACCACTGAGCTACCAGCCCTATTGGTTGACGGAACCTTATTTATTTTAATTGATATACCCATATCAGAAATCTGCGCCGGGCATTTCGACCGCGATAGTTGTATGCTTGGAAGATTGATCACAAAGTGAAGCCGCTGCCGCGATGTCAGGCTAATGGCGCAATGGGAGGAAATGAAGGTTATATATTCCCTGTATATATCTTCAATGTAATTATGAAGAGGTTATCGGCCAAAGCCGAACGTTGTTCTCGTCAAAGGATGTACACGGACGTCGGTCATGCCACCCCTCAATGTATAAACTACAAGCCTTCTGTCACTGAATTGTAACCCGGGCTCAGCTCTCGAATTTTTCCTTCAGTTGAGGTTGCCTCAAGGTAGGTAGTCTCCACGTTCGACAGTCTTCTGTACTCTGATGCTTAATGCATGTACCCGTCCCAGCGGATCAACTGGGCATGTGAGTCTAGCTCTCAACCTCCCTCAGTAGATAAGCTCATGCATGATGATATTGGAAAGAAGGCAAGAAAACCTGAGGGTGCGTCATTGGAAACATAAAGCAAACAGACAAGTCATAGATGTGGCGTACAAGACAACAGACGCGCAGATCCGCCTACCTTGCAGCTGGAATGTATATAAAGACACTGTGTGGAAACCCCCTATTTGATCTTCTCGTCACGTATTATAAACAATACCGGCATGATCGTTACTCTAATGACAGCAAATCTGGACAAGAAGTTATAGTTCTCTGAGTATCTGAGACGTGCTCGAGCACATATTGACCTACTCTTCAATGCCCCTGAACTACATATATAAACCTACAGATGTCTGCTCATCAAAACGAGAGAATACACACAAACTGTATAGTGTATACTCCAAAGTGACTTAAACCTCTGATCTTCCACTCAAATACAACTCCAGCAGACGCCGACTCTCCTCCAACACATCACAGCGAAAATTATGCTCCATAAACTCCGGCGGCGAGGAAGGGACCTTGGCCCCGTCCGGCATGTACTGCTGCGCCCGTTCCTTGACCTTCCACCCTTGATCTTGCCCAGCATTCGAAAATATTGTTATTACAGACGCACGGTGGACACGCACCTTCTCAAACAGCGCTAGACGATCCCGGATCTCGTCTTGGGTCGGGTGATCCGGCATGCGCGCGAAGATCTCACCCAAGGCACCGCCGTCCTCGATTGCCTGGGCGCCGCCTTGGCCTTGGTCTGGAGAGGTTAGCTACTTCAAGAGGGATATGGACAAGAGTCCTACGGGGGAGCATTGGGTGTGCGGCATCGCCTATCAGCACGAGGCGGCCGCGGGACCAGGTTGGGATGGGATCGCGGTAGAGGAGCGGCCATCGCTTGATGCTCGTTGCTTTTCTGCGCTTGGTTAGTGCGCGTTTTGGGCTGGTTGCCAACAGGCTTACTTGATGATTCGGAGAAGCGTCGGGTGAAAGTCTTGGTACTGAGCGAGGACGTCGCTGACATCGGCAGATAAGTTCCAGTCTACCCGAGACGGTCAGTACTGAAGGGCGAACAGCAGAGATATGGATACTGGCCTTCTTTTTGATTATCGCCACGCTCATACAAATGAATACCCACAAAATTTTCGACTGTGTTACTGATCACTATAAGTTGACGCGCCACGAAGCTCAATGGTTGGGGCCTTACTCGGCGCACGAATACCAGATTAGCCGTCGAACACCTTCCGCAACGTATATCCTCATCAAACCATCCTCCAAAAGGTGCGCCGTCTCGGGGTCCCGCTGGATATCCTCCGTCGGAATCAGAAACCGAAACGCAGCGGAGCCTGTGGCGACAGCTGGGGTAGCATGGCCGATGGCCTGGTGAATGGCGGTAGTATGCACTCCATCCGCAGCAACAACAAGGTCCGCTCGATGAACTGACCCATCAGTCAGAGTGACTGTCCCATTCTCAGCGTCGAAGCCAACGACCTCAGATCGCAAGATGATCTCCACGGGGAATCCTGGCCCGTCCGGTGTCGTCGCCAGGCGCCGCAGTTCGGTGTGCAAGTCGACCCGGTGAGCCAGATACCAGGGCGCACCATACGTCTCAACAAAGTGGGAGCAGTCTACTCCGACGTTCGACGTGAGCGATGTTCCTGGTACCACCATCGTTCGAAGACCCGTCACGAAGCGAGCTCTCTTAGGGTCGAAATCCCAGTGTGAGAGAATCCGGGAGGCGTTTGGCTGGACATGGATTGCTGCACTGACTTCACGGAGAAACGAGGAGCGTTCGAAAATCTGGCATGCTTAGTTTCGTCCCAACTCAACCTGTTCTAACAAAGTTTACCTGGACCTTGTGGCCGGCACGACGGAGTCCAATCGCAGCGGCCAGTCCGGCGATTCCGCCACCAACTATAATGACCTTCATCTGGGAGTATCGGGCTCTAGCGTATGATTGATAAACTACTACGAAGTTAAGTATCCGATGGACTGTTCAGATTTCGGGTGCAGAAATGGCAGGGTGAGGGCGGATGAATCGCCTCCAGTTCACCGACTAAACAAGGGGGAGACGCATATTTCATGCATCGAGCCCTTGCCTGATAGCGAATCAGGATCATCCTGCATATGCATCAAAGTGGAGGTACTAATACTACGCTTAGCCGAATGGTGATGACCAGGTGAAGCTACTCTGATAAAGCGAGATATGATTTCAAACTGGATATGACTTATGACAGAGAACACAAACGAAATAGACGAGCCCACAAGTCAACAAGACAACAACTCAATGCATCCGAATGCTGATATGCAAATGTAGTACCCCACATCTATGCTCAGAGAGGACATCCTCGACTACTCTTCTTCCGCAAGCAATTCCACCAAAGCCTGGTTACCATACCGCCGCGCAAGACTGGCTGCAGTATCACCCGCATCATTGACAAGCGCTGGATTAGCACCACGCGAGAGAAGAAAGACAACAGTTTCCGGGAAACGATTGCAAGCCGCAGCCTTCATGAGAGGCGTCGTACCATGTACTGTTCTCTCATTGATAGTCTCCGGCGCTTGAACCCCAGTCCACCGCAGAAAATCCAGATCAGTAGCACACTCCGCCGCCGCATGCCAGGCCGTCTCGTCCGAGGCGCTATGAACAAATGCAGCCAGATTGACCCCATCAGCCATTAGAAGCTCCGCCAGACGGGCATCACAGAATCTACAAAGCGCGTACATGGCGTCGTCGGACAATCTCCGCTGCTTGCTGGGCAGGTGTCGAATGCGGTCCCACAAATGCTGAAAGATCGATGCATCCCATGTCGCGGCGAGAGAGAGGAACGTGCCGTCTTCGCAGTCATTGGTAGCGCCTATGCGTCCGCAAAGGTCCTCGGGAGAGGAAGAGTCGATGAGGTACCGCGAGATGCGCTCGGCTTTGGAGGCCAGAGCCAGGCCGAGGAGCTTCCAGCCGCTGCGGCTGTAGTGCTGGAGGTTGAGGCCGGCGTCGACGAGACACTTCAGGGTTTTGACGCGGTCGTACCTGATAATGTCAGTGATGGGATCTGAGGAGTGGTCGGTTAGTTTTTTGAAGGCTTTGGCGCTTGGGACGGTGTAGATGTTGTTGTCAGTGAAGCGTTTCTGCACGATTTCTTTGGCATGGGGTGCGAGCTCACCGTCTGACTCGATGATCTTCCATAGCTCTGGGGTCTCGAGAAACTTCAGACCGGCAAGGGAGATTTTGTACAGCTCTGGTGACATTTTCAAGGTTCGAATTGACGATTGCAGACAGGCTTGGTGGGAAAGAGATTGAATCGATAGAGTAGATGCAAATCCTGTCACCTTGACAGACATGTAAGTTTTATAAGGCTCTCCTCCATTGTCTTAGACATCGCATCATCTGTCTTGAGTGTCATTGCCTGTGAGCATGAGGCAGTTGCGGCATTGGGGCGGCACCGGCAATGTGCGACAATCATGAAGTACACGGGAATATAATACATTGTTCTTTGTTTCCCGTTATCTCAGGAAAATTTGGTAAACAGGGAATACAATACATTGTTGTTTCTCCATGTGTCGAGAGACAAAGAAGGGTGAAACAATGCATTGTACTCCAAGACTAGAGACTCGGAGAGAGACATATGAAAACTCCAGTCTATTGATCAACAGAAGTCTCCGACTGCACCTCCTTCCTCATAAACGCCTCCCACAGCTTAACCACCTCCCCATCTAGCGTCCTCTCCTCATAAAGCGGCTCCTCCTTCCAGCTCACATACCCAAGGCTCTCATACCACTCCTGAATACTGAACGTCGGCGGCTCCGTGCCCAGTCTCGCCCAGAGACCCCGCCCCTCGGGCCCCTCATCATACAGATACCGTTTACTCTGCGCATTGAGCGTAACGAACCGGCAGCGCGGGCTACCATACGGCTCCACGACTGCTATTTCCTCGATCAAGCGCATCGCATGCCGTCCCAGCCCGTAGGAGCGGTATTCAGGCAGAATGAAGAACGAGCTGATGGTCAGCACGGACTTGTCTGCGCGCGCGAGGTCGGGGTCCGGTGGGTCGCAGTATGCGTCGAGGGCGATGTGGCCCGCGCGAATGAGACTGCCTTTGTTATCACTAGTGCTGGGATCGGGGATGGTGATCCAGAAGAGGGCTTTAAGGTTTTCTTGTTGTTTTTGTTTCCATTTCTGGATGGTCTGTGAATCCGAGAACCAGCCGCAGATTGTACGTTGTTTTTGCAGCTCAGCGAATTGATCTGTGTTGTGTAGATTGACGGGTTCGAGGAAGCATTTAGCAGTGAGGGATGAAGATTTCATTTGTGATGCGGTATAGATTAAAGTTGAAAGGATTCTGCGCCGTTGAATTATGACTTGCATATGTAACAATCACCCGCACATGAGTCATGCCGGCTTGAGTCGGGAGTCTTTAGTGCCAGCCATGTCTAGACGGCCATTTCTAGCAGGCTTATTCTGGGTGACACGTAGTCTCGCTGGCTAAGCTATACAGATTTCCAGAAATCCAGGATCAAACCACAGCATATTCTAGATACTCAGTGAGCTGATACTGCTGTAGCTATACTTTATAGAATTCAGTAATATCTACAGATTAAATTTCCTTAATTATCCATTTTTTTATTTATATAGTCCCAAATATTACATAATCTTATTAAGTAGATTGCTACTAATAAGAGACCAATTTAATTTCATATAAAACTAAATTTTACTACTAGCAGAAAATATAAAAACTAACAGACTTCAAGACCTACAGGTGTTCTTTTGGGTTTCTCCCCAATGGCTTTGCCGTATCTAGCTAGATGCTTCGCTTGGATCTTGAATCTCGTATTCCGTCAGCCTTCAGACCCGGGTCTCTTTCCCCTCGTCACACATTTGGAGTTGGAAAAGATAGTAAACTTCCAGTCACAAAGTAATTTAGAGCTAAGAGACCCATCACCGCCTGGAATAGGATGTCTCGCATCACTCCCCGGACCCATCAAATATATGACTACGAGCCCCTGCCCAACCCCACATCAATCCGACTCCTACGAGTTGATCACAGAGACCCCGATGGACTACTACATTGCACCATAAAAAAGGTTGATCTGAAAGATGGGCCTTTGTACCATGCCATGTCCTACACCTGGGGCAACCCGCACAGCGAACTCGCCCAGGTCCAGGAAACCCGGGACAGATATTCAGAGAATTATCCCCCAGAGCACAGAGAATGTATATCTGTCAAAGGGAAGTTGTTATACGTCACTCGAAATGCGTACGATGCGCTCGTCTCCGTCCCCAGAGACGCATGGGCAAAATGCTGCAACAGAGGTAATCGGAGGAAACTTCTTCGGACATCGCTTCATTGGGCGTCTATTGCCGGGAAGGAGGAGCTGATTCAGCCGCTTCTGTGCTCTGGTGTGGACGTTGATGTGAGGGATGAATGGGGCGTTACGCCATTGAGTTACGCGGCGCAGGTGGGAAGTCGCGAGGGGGTCGAATTGTTGCTTTCTGCTGGTGCGGATGCGTGCATTGCGGATGGTCGGGGGTATACTCCGCTTGATTATGCGAGGCAAGGTGGCTACGAGGAGATCATCCAGTATCTGGAAGAGGTCATGCAGAAGGGAGGAAGACTCGAGCCGCGAGTGGATTGGCCTGAAGGTCCAGAAAGATGGTGCTGGATTGATCAGATTTGTATTAACCAGGATGATATCGCGGAGAGGGGAGCGCAGGTTGCGATCATGGATCAGATATACAAGAACGCAGCGTTTACGCTTGTCTGGCTTGGGCCCGGGGATTCCTACACCGATATGGCGATGAAGACTATCGAGAAACTGGATACCGCGGCAGGAGACTTTATCCGAAGCAAGGAGATACAACCATATAGAGAGCAACCTGAGCAGATCTACGCTGCTGCAAGGATCCCCTACATTTCGATGGAAGAGTGGACTTCCCTCGCGGCCCTCTTTCAGCGTCCCTACTTCCGGCGCCTCTGGATCGTCCAGGAGAACATCCTCTCGGACATCATCATGGGCTACTGCGGGACTCGCGAGATCCCGTGGAAAGCATTCCACACCGTGGCACAACAGATCTACTTCCGGCAAGAGCTGCTGGGTCGACCGACGTCAACTGCGTTTATTGCCCCGCATCGGCCAGTGGCGGCTCTTGAAAGCGAGATGGTATATCTCACTCAGTGGCGGGAGCGGTTGCAGAAGGGCGACGAGGCCACCGTTCCTCGAGAGCTGTCGCTGGAGAATCTCATCTTTGACACCTGGACCTTCAACGCGACCGACCCCAGGGATAAGATCTTTGGGCTTTACGGTCTGCTCCGTGAGGGTGGTACGGTCGATTGGAAGCCGGACTACTCTCAGTCCGTAGGAGAGGTATTCGCCCGAGCAACAAAGCAGATAATCCAGAAAGCAGGCGAGTTGCGCATTCTCTCCGCCGTCCATGACGAGTCCCTCCGAAATATCATGGATCTACCCTCCTGGGTACCGGATTACAGCGCGAACTTCTGCAATATGATGTGCGCTAATCATCATGCAGCCGGAGATTCGCCCATGAGGTCCATCATGGGGAGCTCCTGGAACAAACTTCCTGTGACTGGTGTCAAGTTTGACTCGGCTCTCGCGATAGGGAACACCACCAGCGGACCCGGTCAGATGTCCATGTTCTTTGACCAAAGGTGGCTGGAACTTGCTCTCCTTCTTCCTGTCCCATATCACACCGGCCAGACAAGAACAGAGGCGCTGTGGCGCACCCTCTGTGCGGACCAGGCGCTTGATGGCTCAACGCCTGCTCCTCCGTCCTACGGGAATATGTTCAAAGCAATGGTATGCAGTCTCGTCTGCGTCAAAGCTGCTGAAATAGCCCGTGCGGCAGAAAAAGATCCAGAGAATGTCGTTGATCTCCTCTCGGCTGCATACCATGTTCGGAAGACCTGGTCGAGTCCACCTCTCTCGGAATTGTCTGTGGAGGAACTCACGGCGGTTGTCGCGGACCCGAAAACGAACCTCAGTCAGCCAGATCGCCAGACATTGACTCATTTGTTGTATAAGATGCAGTTCCTTGGGATTGCTGAAGACCAGTGCTTTACACCCTCTATCGAGGAGGTCGAGAAAGCATACTACAGTTCCTCATGGCTGCCCTGGGACGAGAGCGAGACATTACAGCTTCCTGCAGAGGGACAAGAGTTCTATAATGCGTTAAGACGGAAACATGGTCGACGGAGGGTATTTGTCACTGCCAATCGGTACCTCGGCTTGGGACCCGCCTCGATGGCAATTGGGGATGAGGTGTGGGTTTTGGCGGGCTCGGGGGCTGCGATGGTGCTAAGGGGGACTGAGACAGAGGATGAATTCCGGCTGGTTGGGGCAGCGTATCTGCATGGAATTATGAATGGGGAGCACATTGGAGATGATGTTAAGTTGCGGAATATTAATCTCGTATAACAAGATTGGATAGATTCCACAAAACGATCCCAAAATGCAAGTTGGCCATATTTCAGACCTTCTCATGAACTCGATGGAAGAGTAGGTCGGTGCTACCTTTGTAAAGCCCCACGCAATATCTACCGTGCATGCTTTGGCAGCCGAAATCCCAGATATGGGAGGTATTTCGCCGGATGCCAGTAGACGAACAATGCCGCACATGGGAGGATTGGCAATGCATCAAAGACATACAGGCACCACTCATGTAGATTGATATATCCGTTCTTGCCTTCGGTGAATTCAACCAGACGGTAGACCGAGCGTATCTGTAGACAGGAGTCAGCGATGACCTAACACGAGAGAAGATCTGTATGAAACACTTACAAGAATCATCAAAGTAGAAAAGTTCACCACTCTCAGCAGCGCATTCCAGTTGGCGCTCTTTCTCGGGCCACCGGGTCTTGCACCAATGCTCTCAAGCATTTCGAATTGCTCGCCGACAGGCTTCGCGAACCGTTTCGACGTGAAGTTGAACCGAAACGCAGCAATGGAGAATAGCCCAAAGGCGATCATCTGGACTATGACGCCAATCAGTGCAATATTGCGACCACGGTCGAACTTGTCCTTCGCATCACTGCTAGTACCATCGGCTGATGTGATCAATACTGCACCGCCTAGCTGAAGCAGGAGGGCCACAATGTCAAAGCCCACGAAGATCGGAGTGATAAAGCGAGGAGGAACCCAGCACAGTTGAAAGGTTCGTGCTTCAGGTGGGACGATGTGAAAGAGGATACGGCCGAACAGGATATAGCAGCAAGCTGCCATCAGGACGGGTGCGAGGATAATAAGAGAGAATTGCAGTACGTAGGGGGCGCGTTCAGAGACGTGTTGGGCGGATATAGAGCGGGAAATGAAGCCTATTGCTTCCACTTTGGTATATTAGTGGTGACAGTTGCCAATGTTGCAAGTATGCACTTACTAGCCACTGCGATAACCATGGTGATCCATACCCAAGCTCTGTATCGGATCCATTGAAATACAGCTAGGAGAAAGGTGATCGAGTACAGGACTGCGAAGAGAACAGCTGCACCTACAGAAGGACTGTACTGGTAATAGGATAGCTTGTATTCCCGTGACAGATGCATGATATATTAAGAAATATTCTTTATGAAGTTGAAAGTTTTTGGGAATTATCTATGTTGTCTCCGTTGGTCGATACCATCTCCGAATATATATAATAACTTCATCATCAAACAAATGCCGTTGAAGGATCGGCACACGAACATAAGTGCCTGGTGCCGAAAAAAAGGGAAAGTATTTCGGGACACTGCCACACTTTTAGACTTTTAGGCAGCTATTTTGTTATCTCTATCTTGTAACCAAGTCTGCTCCCCTGAAGCATCCCAAACTCGGGATGTTTTGATAGCTGCACTCAAGAGGACAATCCTCCAGCCAAAAAAACGCATCATTTCCACCTCAGTTAGCGGACTTCGGTTAAATAGCCAATCATACGACCTAGGCTATCCTGACTGGGCTAGCGGGACGAAATACTTGCCTCATCTGGTAAGTGCGGTGGGCACTTGGCTACTGCCTAAAGGAGTTAGTGACAGCATCGCCTCTTTCATCGGTCTCTAAGGAGTCGATGTTTCATGTCATCATCCACGACATTAAAGCTTAGGAAAGGAGTTCTTTCTACCAGTCGCTGTGTGGCTGAAGATGGCCCTTGGCAACGTGGCGTCTGCGGCTCTCGACCATAGGCCTAGATCGATCTTTTGCACAAATCTGACCGATCCACGTCCTCTAAAGGCTGCCTAGTTGAATCCAGTCATCGGCAAATACATATCGAATCTTTAAACATTTTGCATGGGAGTACATTGATACGTCAACCGTGAAGCGACGGAAATGCCTTTTTGTTGTCGTCCGAGCAAATTCTGTCTTGGGTGCCGTCAGAGACGCATCAAAGTAGGCGATCCCCAACCGCAACAGAGAGCCATACTGACCGTGACAGTGCGATATGGCCGTCCCTGCCTGCTCTCAATGTAAAAGAGCTGGCAAGGAATGCGTGGGCTACAGGGACGAACTACCACTGTTATTCCGAGACGAGAATGCTCGCACCATCAGACGAGCTACAGCTGCTAAGGCTCGATCCAGAGCTCAAAGAAAGGATGCAGGATCCGATTCCGCTTCTTCACCTGGCTTGAAGCTTATGAGATCAAGCCATGGGCCTATCACGGCTACTTCATTACCCTCAACCTTGCCGTCCCTTGATATGGACGAACTCGGGCTGCATTTCTTCGTCTATCACTTCTCCACTTACGCCTGGGCCGGCCGATGCCAACCTCAAAACATTACATCGCCCTTTATGCGTCGATTCGGCGAAGATGCGACTCTGAGAAGTGCGGTTGCTTCGGTCGGTTTAGCTGCCCTGTCGAATATTCGAAAGGATGAGGGGATCTTACGTGGAGCACGGCAGAGGTATGGTCAAGCCATCAGGGTAATCCAGAGCACATTGAAATCTCAGACTGCCGACCAACTGGACGGTACCATGAAGATGATTCTGATGGTTGCTCTATTTGAGGTAGGCAGCTACCGGTCCCCATGGAGGGCATAATGAATCTGATCGTCGTTCATACAGATTGTCGACGCCAACCCGACGTCAAAGCTATCGTGGATCGTGCATTTGCAAGGTGCAGCAGCCTTGCGGAATCGGTCACCGCGAGATTTCTTCACCAAGAACCATCGTGTTCAGATCATGTTCACATTTACTTGGATTTTCAAATACTTCCAGACCGGAGGGCGCTTTCCACTGGAGTTGGAAGGTTGGGCGGCGCCGGATATACCTGTCGAGGCCAACGATGACTTTCCTGCTGTCTCCCTGATCGAGATCCTCCTCAAATTTATTCGTCTGCATGCCAGTCTCGCGAAAGGCAGTGATCAATCAATGAGCAGCGCTTTAACGGAGGCACTGGCCTGCGAAATGCAGCTCGAGGGATGGTCAACAAGCCTTCCTGCCAAATTTGGCTACATGGAGAAAGTTTCAAAAGACACCTCACAATACTTCTATGGTCGCTTCCACCTTTATGAGGACGTCTGGGCTTCGCGCATTCTAATCCACTATCTCACGGGCCGCCTCTTTGTGAATGAGTTGATATTGCACCTTGCGTCCCAATGTGATAGTTCAATCGAGCAAATACTACAGACGGCGCATGCCCGCCGTATGATCATCCAGTTGGCCGTCGATATTTGCGTCGCTGCCGCGAGTCAGCCTCTATTTCCGGATTATATGAGCCTCAACAGAAACGGCGCAATACCTCCACTCAGTGGCGTCTTCATGTTTATGTACCCCCTTGCAGTGGCTGCAACTGCGACTGGGGTGTCCGACGACCTCCGTGAATGGGTGATGCGTACTCTCGATCATATTGGTCAGACCATGGGTATCCGTCAGGCTTTGTTGATGAAAGCCGAGCTAGCACAGTCCTGTCAGCGCAGGCTCCAAAGTCAAATACACTTCCATCCTACGGAAATATCATCGAGCCTGCCAAATTCATGTCTGCAGAATCGCGATGCATGCCTAAGCTGACTGACTGACGTTATACTAGTTCCGAGAGTGCACTCCTCCCTCTACATCGAAAGTCCATCTAAAACGGTTGGAATTCTCACGCAAAAAGGAGCGGACCCACACAGGACATAAGACATTAGAAGTGAATAGTTATTATGAGCGCTGGTACAACGTGAGTCTGAAGTTGGCCAGCTGAAGATCTCAGAGTTCTTCCCGCTGGAGAGAACTGCAACTAACATGCTAGGCATCTTTGCCTCTTTGCTTAATCTGAGATTTGGTTCCATCCCGTCTGGAAAGCTGACAAGGGATGTCGTCTGGCATGATACAGTACGGGTGCTAGATAGTGTACCCTAAATCTACATTAAGTATAATAGATTACTAGACATAGAGGGGATCTAATAGGCCCTTAATAACCTTTAAGATAAATAACTTAGGTTTGTCAAGCTAAGCTTAAAAGTAGAAAAAGATAACGATATAGTACCTAGATACTATAAAAGGTAAAAATAGCTTTAAGAGGCACTGGAGGCACTAGAGTATAGGAATGTAAAATCTAGACCATGAGATAAGAGTAAGAGTTTTACCAATCTGTGAGAAACTTTCTTCAAGAATAGATAGACTCTCCCAACTACCCAGAAGACTAGCATCTCCGCGGCTTCAGGTTGACTTTATGTCCAATTAGGTTAACAATGTTGATGCTGGTCAAGGAATACTGTTAATACTAACTATGCAAAGTGGAAGCTTATATTTGCCCCTTCAGATAGGTCTCATTACTAGGCCACTATGTGAACTGTGCTACTTAGCAATGTATGAATCCTGGTTACAGTATAGTAATACATGTACACCAATGATTCCCTTGCCCTCCTGTCTTGTATGTAGATATATGTGAGTCAATGTCGTGTTTAAAGAGAGACAAGAGTCACTAGTACTGAGCCTGGTACCTGAGCTCTAAAGTAAAATACCATCCACAGGGGGCTAAAGGGATACTTTCGACAACCACCAGAGGATCACCGGTTCAGTGGTTCCACAACGAAATCTTGACGAGTTATTTACGGTAGGGGAGGTATTAGATACCTACGAAGCAGGGTCATTTTGCCCATAATTCAACAAGCAAAGTTTTAGTAGGTGCGGTGGCACCTCTCATGGAAGGTGCATGCAAAATGTGGTATGCCCGAGTTACCGGCTGTTTGCGTAAGCTCTCGATATCTATGAACATGCCCTCCATGTATAGCCAAGGATGCGGATAGATTCGAAGACTCTGAGATAGCCGGATACTTAGTGGATATCCTTGGCAAATTTTTGCGCTTTGCTTACGTTTTGACATTGTTTCACTGGTAACGTTTTCATGCATCGCCTCAACGCAAAGGCCACTTGTTCCGCTGCTCGTGGCATCAGTTCATTGAGCGAGAGACGCCCGAAAATCCCTCAGAAACCTCCATCGGACCCTCTCCCCGTAGCCTTTCTCCTTCCAGTTGTTGATTATTGCTGGGAACATATCTGCAATTCCAATGATTGACTCATCGTGCGCAAGGACAACCAGGATATTATCACTCGCGTCCAGCATTCCCAGCTTGCGGATCGAATCTCGCGCTGCATGCTTGTCAACCATGCAGTGTTCCGGCATCTGGTAGAACGGCTCATTGCAACTCTTTTGGGGGTGTAAGCATTGGAAGATGGATCCGGGACATGCCTGCGCGTAGAGCTCAGGCAGGGGACTCGGGTGGTACTCTTGCAACAGAGGGCGCCATTCAGTCGGTCGAAGGACGCCGGGGTAGTGGCAGATATCGCCTCCCATAAGAACGAAAGTATCCTCGGAACCTGACATAACGCCGGACGTGACACGCGCGAGGGCGGCAATATGGCCTATTGTGTGGCCTGGGGCGTCGAGGAGGTAAAGACTGCCATCTTCAAAGTAATCAATCGCTTTGAAGCCACCGATCTCTATAGTTGAGTGGGAGTTGAAATGAAGTTCATCGACGGTGCGGTCTTTCCAGTCTTCTTCTATCAAAGAGGAGCTGGGAATCTCCGGCCATCCAGGCAAATAGGCTTTCTGAAATCCTTGTCCAACTATGATCTTCGTTGACCTAGGAAATTGAGTGAAATCTCCAAGATGATCGAAGTGGTGATGACTCAATATGATGCCTTCAATGCCATCAAGCAAGACGTTGTTCTCTTGTAGCATTTCGGAGACATTCTTGTCAACGTCCAGTTTCCAGCCTGACTTGGTGAGGAAATCCTGGACAGCAGGTGGAAGTGTAGCATAGTCCAGCCGCAGACCAAGATCGAAGAGAAGTTGGCGGTTAGTGCCGGTATGTCTTATGAGAAATGAGAAAGATGGGAGAGTTAGATACGGGCGGTGCTCTGGCCTGGGAGTCACTATATCAGAGGCAGGAAGATACATCCGCGTGCTACTATATGTATCAGCGAATGATGACCCTGGGTGTCATCACCAGAATACTTATCAATAATGGAGACTTCGACTATTTGTCCCTTGGGGATTTGTAGATTTGGAGCCTCTGTCGGCTCGATCATGTATTTGACGTCCGTCATTTCGTCACTGTATTGTCAAGCTGTGAGTGCGGAAATAATTCAAGAGATCATCTTAAAATGATCTGGGCCCTACTTAAATATTAATTTAGTTAGTTGCGGGGTCGATGACTCATAAAGCAGAATCTCTAGACCCATGTCCAATACATGTCATACTCGACCATTGCCGCAACATTCTAAGCTCTCTTCTGAGCTGAACTCCTGCTCCTGCTCCACAGACTCAGTAGTGATCGCAGGGACCTCCCACTGCCTTTACGAATTCTTGTATAACATGAACACTACCTTGCTCTCCGTAAAGCTAGCTGGGCACGTAACCAACCCCACCGCAACCCTAAGCAGTGCAGGCAGAATGACCGGCTGAATAAGTCTCATAGAGTCATTGTCCCGGCCGCTCTACGTTTGGTATTGTGGTAGTGATGGTGGAGGACTTGGGGTATTCACCCAGGTGGGAATGCCAGTGTGGACGAAATGAATCAAGAACGGGTTCCTTGGTACCGGCCAACGCATCTAAGAAGGGCGTCTGGAATATAACGCCAGATGCTTCCCACTTTTCTATGTACTTTCAGTATTTACCGAACTTCTTGTATCTCCCTAGCGCATCAAATCACTGCGCAGCAAGGTGCACAATGTTTTCTTGGAAACGCTGCACTCTTTGCATAACTGCCGCGTTCCTTGATTTGAATTGTGCTGTATATATCCTGTCTACTCGTGTTGCTAGAGTTCAACCGCCTGAGGTACGGAGATAAATTCTGCTGCCGATGCGCATTTTCATCTTTTCTTCAACTCTCGCTGTGCCTAGATCCTTCTGCGGAATCTGATAGATGGATATCAGATTGATTTCCAGCGTATACGGAATTTATCCAGGTATGATTCATATGCAGCCGAATATGCCTTGTGATTGGGGATTTAGTAGTTACCTATGCAACTAGGCCTAGGTCTAGAGTGAAGCTACATATGATATGTACTACTACTAATATATTATACACATTATAGCTCTAATCTTCCGTGCTGGGTACAAAGAATGTTTATATAACTAACAGTGGCTTAGTTTAAGTATCTGATAGAGGGAGGTGATGCTCAAGCTGAAAGGGCAGTCCATTTATAGGTGAAGTTGCAAATCTTATGATGGTCTAAAGTATCAGCAGCAGACTACTAGAGAATAATGTAGGTCTGCAGGGCTACTATCTCTGCTATCTCCCTTCCTTTTTTTACATTAGTTGGTCTATAAGGCTTTTGGTTGTGATAAGGGTTTGTATTAAAAAGATGCTTTATAAATGTAATGATAGTAGGTTATTACAGGTATTATAAGTCAAGAGAAATTCGGAATAGAAAGCATCGAGAACCTGCATTCAGAAACTCTAGCTCCCGGGACGCGGCGGGACTTCCAGCAGAAGACCTTCCTACAAACTAGCCATTTAAACAGTGGATACTCGTTTTTACAATATGAAGCGAGACCATCAGCAAATCTGAACGGCCAGGGAGCGACAATCCTAGGAACAGAATGCAAAGAGCCGTTGCAACAGTTGTTATAAAAAAGAAATCAGAACCTGCTGGTGATATGACTCTGTTGAAACATCACTAATATAGCACTGTTAATGGCTCTGGCAACAAGATCCCTAGACTTACCATTGAGGATCCTAGCAGAAACATTTTATCGCAAAGCGAAGATGGAATTGAAGGTACCTTAACAAGAACCCCACAGTGAACCTCAAAAGAATAGGGCTTTGCCTCTCGGTAGCAGACTATGCGGAAAATGTCAGAACCACGGCCTCAGTCTAGCAGACTAATTCTTCAATTCGTGTACATAGTCACGTAACAGGTACTCTATAGACTCGGCACAGACATAGGGATACTCTAATTCTTCTACAGATAGTGGTGGTCGCCTGCAGAGCAACGAAATACACAGTAAAATACAAATTGCTCTACGCTAACCTCTCCCAATCCACTTATTCCTGTTTCTTGGACCCCTGTCTGGATAGTGCGCACCCAAGTAGTTGGCCAAAGCCACTTCAGCCTTGGCTTTTGTCATCGAAAATCCTCCATCTGCCTGCAAATATATATATATATATTGACTATAGGACAGACAGAATTCACCACGGACAAGTTTCTTTCCATCCAGCCCCTCTCACTCTCAAATGAACACCATGTGGAGTCAACTAACCACACTCACAAACCAAGGCAGCGATTACGATCTCGGACCCCACCTCGCAGTCCTGCACGATTACTTTGCAGGCAAAATTCACTCCACGGAAGCCGCCCCCAAGCTAGCATCTGCTGCTTTAGCACTCGACGCCTCCCTCAATACCCAGCTAGGCCAACTCTGGCATCTGTTGCTTCAGATTGCATGCAAGCACCCACAACACCAGGACAAACTCGTTGATATTCTCGTGGATATTTCCCATCTCCCGGATGTTACAAGGCCCAGTGATAATGGACAAGATGAGCCGTTGATTCTCCACAGGAAGCAAGTGTGGAAGGACCTGCCGATGCTGGACTGGGAGATTAGGCGTCACTGGGATTACTCAATCCCGGGCCCAGGTACCAAAAAACCAGAGGAGAGAGAAGCCGCAATTTCAAGGACGATGAATGTGAATCGCTGTCTCGCCCTTCTCATCGCAACCGATGAGCCTATTTTCGAGTGGGGTTCGTTGTTTGCGCTGGTGACGCTCCGGACGGCGCTTGAGACGCCATGGGAGCATATGGCGCTGCAGGATCCCTTAGTGGCGTGGATTCCTGCAGCAGCAGCGTGGGTTGAGGTCCTAGGTGTGGAGATCTATGAATGGGATGAGGAATATGAGTCCGGGCGCCTGATTGGTGCTCCAGGTAGTGGAGGGCCGTTGTGGAAAGGGAAGCACGGCTTTTGTAAGGACAGGTGGAAGCTTTGGAGGGATAGATTTGGCGAGGCTGCAAGGAAGGAAGATGAAGCTGAGCACGTCAGGAGGGTTGCAAGGGAGGCAGAGCTGATGACGAAGGAGATTGAAACTGGGCATGTGGAGTAGATATTATCGGTAGACAATTTTCACGCAATTTCCGCCGGCTATACTAAAACTTAAGTTGATAAATTACCATCAAAACTACTCTAGTAGAGCCCGTCAGATATCACCACAAACAACAAACTGGTTCTGTGGTGCCCCCAGATGCGTCATGACACCACAGAACGCAAAGTTATCCGGGAACCCCGTAACCGGGCTACGGCTATTCCGGGTGTAGCTTTTAGCCTTAATAATCTTGCGCTATTCCTACATAGCCTATCTATCGTTGTGCATTTTTACGCGTCATAGTATACCCTCGTTTGGACTACGGCCTCTTATGGGAGCATAATTTCCTGGAATAACTTATCTGATCCAAAGTACACGTTCGGCGTAATAGCTACCTTCCACATGGGCCATGCTCCATCCTTGCGTTGCCCTATGCTCGACACTTTGATCTGAAATGTTCGGCTACGCAGCTACGTCCTGGGCGTAGCCAAGTTGCACCCTTATTCAGCAATCAGACCCATCAAAGCCTTGCTACCCCTTCTTTCGAAACAAGAGGTTGGCCGTTCTCCACATAAATCTCCTCCCAGCCGAAGGCGATGGATGTCTTTGTCCAGTCAAAGAATTTGGCCTCGTCTGGTGCCACTATTCTCTTATAGTATGGATCTGTGGAATATTTGGGAATCAATGGCTTAGCTTCAAAACCTCCGTTTCTACGGAGACAGATAGTAGAATAACGTTACCTTTAGATAAGCTCATGTATGTTTCCATGTTAGGAACCACTATCTCAACCAAGCCATCATATTCGGGAAAGGGACGATGAGGTGCACCTAAAAGCTTATAATGCTCATGAACTTCCTTGCGGACTGACGATGGAGTATGATACTATTCGTGTTAGCGAATGGTGGTGAGGGTAAGGGATATGATAATCAACTCACTTGTGTGTATTTAATGACTCCGGCTTTTGCCAAGAACTCTGCCACTATTGGAGCATGAACCTTCGACCAGTGGTTATGAAACTCTTCCTCCGAAATTTCGTCTTTCTTGAAGGCGAACATGGTAACGCGGAGGTTTCGGTTCAGAGTAGCCATCGCAGTATCTTGTTTTAGGAGCGGTCGATCGTCTGTGAGAGTAACATGGAAGTTGAGTGCGGTGGAGAGAATGGGGGTCTGCTATTCAGTACTCCGTAAAATATGTTCGGCACTTTCGAAACGCCTTCAAAGCAGAGAGAGGCAGACTGATCACTACAGGACGGGCTCGGAGCAACTAGGTGATCCGCAAGGGGGTTCTCGGAGTCTCAAACCTTCCGACTGGCTCATTAAGAACATACGTGCGAACTATATGTGGGGACATGAACCGGGAGCCTCCCGGTAGCAAATATGGAGCTGGTGCTAGTCCCGGACTCCCGCTCTTAGATGAGTCCTAGCAAAGTACTCCGTAGGCCCACCCGAGAGGGAAAATGACCGGAGTCGTCCCAGGAGCTGCACAGTTAGAGTTGACGCTAGCCACGGAACGATGCGCTTAAACAATCGGCCTCTAACATGTTACAGTTAAATCCGCTTATATGTGAGGTTTCCCACAAATGATTGCTAGCCTGGGCTGGTGTGAAACTGACAAATACTTCTCCGACACTCAGAGTGGACAAAACCTTCGCGACAAATACATTATCCGGCGCCTCTTCGGAGAGTCCATTCGTCCGAAGCGTGTCGGCAAGAACATCAAGCCACGGGCTGTGATAGTTTGCCCACAGGCATAAGGAGGGCAAGAACAAAGCCGGGAAAAGATGGATACTTTCGCGTCTCCTCAACTCAAGTATAAATTCTGCAAGAAGCAATGACGCGTGTGCGGCTCTGGCGAAGAAATACAAGCCTTCATGTTGACAGTAAGTAAGGATACTCGCTTGATTGCATTCAGAAGGCGTGTCATGGGATGTCACTGATATCGTGATTTAGAAATACGTCTTTCGTGCTCGGTATGCAAGTCAAAATTTCATCGTCGACACGAACTTCTTCAGCATCAGATTATGCAGAAACACGGGTATTGCACGCAGTGCCAAACACTCTTCGATGGTGAGGAGGATTTCAGTCGACACTTTCTAGGATCACAATGTATACGTGGGTTATAGGCGCAATACAATATATGCGATGACGAAGACCGTTTATCGTCGTAAAACTGTTCCAAAAACGGAAGCTTCATTTCTTTTGTCACTGATGCATGATTTGCAGTCATTCCTACTTCGACGGCTTCGATTGATTCCTATAGAAGTGTAATTTGGTGGTCACAACTGAGCGAGAGGCTTAACACGGTCAAATGAAGCTGGGTTCCTAAAGATATTCTGGTTCAGGACTCTATCACGAGCTATCCCATAGTTGCCCATGTAATGGGCAATATACTGGTCCATCATCTGGGTAAGAAGAAGCAGATGTGGTTTAGGAGGAACAATGGAGTGAGATTCAGAACAAGAGTATTGTTGAACGAGAGCGAGGTATATGGTTAAATGCTCTGGGCATGTGTCTGTATGAGAGAGAGGGTGAGAGGGTATATTTTCGTGTCGTTGTTGCTCAAGTAAGACCCTGACTATAGAAAATGTTGACTCCCATTATTTGAGGACACAGAGTTCTCCCTTCATTTTCCTACCGACCGAGGCTTCACACTTAACCCTTTGTTTGAGATCAGCTGCTTTTTACCGAGGCTCCCTAGGCGAAGTAGCGTCTGTAGGGAACCACAAAGGTCTCGGCTACGGTTCTCTTAGACATCTCAGACACCATTCTGGGTCTATACTGAGGGTAGCCTCTTCCCTGTGTTGGTAGCTTTTTATTCTTTTTTTGAACAATAATCGCGCGAAAGAACACGACCATGATCCCAGACAAACAGATTCCAACTACGGGATTTGTGGTTGAGAAGCCGGGTGCACCATTGACCCTCCAGAATATCATTCTGGATGAAGTCCGGGCGAACGAAGTCCTGATCGAGATGAAGTATACGGGCCTGTGCCACACAGTATGCATTCGTAATTTGCAACGAAATACATGTAATCTCACGCTAATGGAAGACTTATAGGATATCGTTGTCCAACAAGGAGACATTCCCGTTGGCGACTATCCCGCTGTTTTGGGCCATGAGGGTGCTGGTATTGTGCGCCGCGTTGGCAGTGGTGTCAAAAACAAGTCTCTCCGGTAAGGCGATCTAGTCTTTCTAAGCTTCAGCTCGTGTCATAGGGATACCTGCAACCCTTGCCTGGAAGGCCGAAATGGATTCTGTCGTGAAATGACAATTCTCAATTTCGCAGGTACTCGAGGTATTAGTGCTGCTGACTCGCCCATTTCTTTCCCCGGAGGAAAAGGCCCACCAATTCGGGGCCAATTTTTTGGCCAGTTCTCCATGAGCAGACTCGCTATTGTGAGCGAGCATTCTGTCATCAAGTGCTCACCTGGATCGGAGATTACTGTTGCTGATATGGCAGTCCTGGCTCCACTTGGGTGCGGGTATCTCACTGGTGCTGGTACCGTCCTAAATGTCCTCAAACCCAAGCCAAAGAGCACCTTCGTTGTTCTTGGTATGGGCGCTGTCGGGATGGCCGCGATGTTAGCCGCAAGGTCTCAAGGGGTTGAAACAATTATCGCAGTTGATATGTTGGATGTGAAGCTGGAACTCGCCAAGTCCCTGGGTGCATCACATGCATTGAGCACGAAGATTATCACCGATCTTGCACAAGGGCTGCTCGATATCTTCCCTGGAGGCGTTGATTACGTTCTCGACACGACAGGCGTAGACTTTCTGTTTGAGTCTGCGGTTAAAGCCTTAGGCCACGAGGGTATCCTGGCTATTGTGGGTGTTGCCCGCGCGGGGTCACTTCTCAAAATTGATCCCCTTGCTCTCATGATGGGCTGCAAACAGATCGTGGGTGTAATTGAAGGCGGTGCAAATCCTGCTTCGGTGAGAGATTACCTAGTGGAGAACCTTGGAACTGTTGTTACTAACTCAATGATTGTAATTAGCTTTTGCCAGTGTTGGTTGACCTCTATAAGCATGGAAAATTCCCTGTCGACAAGCTTGCCAAGGTTTATGCGCCGGATTCGCTTGACCAAGCTATAGAGGATTTGCGCTCTGGCAGACTACGTACAATACCCTCAGAATTTCCGGAAAGCTATGCTGATATATCTGTGGAGCAGGTTATTAAGCCCGTTATTAAATGGGAGGATGTGTAGTCTCCTACTCTCCCTGACTATGTCAAATCTCGCCGCTGCATACAAAGCCTCTCGTTGATTTGCCGTTATCCGTGAGCTTTATTTGGTGAACTATGATTATCTGTTAGTATGTAGATGCTAAGCCCAGCTTCGTTCCATGCCACAGAGAGGCAAATGTGTCAGTGTTAGGCAGCTTGTTACCGCTGTCGAGGAGAGGAGGAAATCAATTAGAGGCTATGTGTCATATAAAAAGCAATATAAAACAGTCCTCAACTTGAACCAAGCGGCCACTGTGTCACAGCAATAATTAAGGTTAATTGCTTGAATATTTGTATCCTTTGGATCTTAGTACTGTCAATACCTCATCTGTTTATATACGTTCTTGGTGAGAAGCAATAAACTACTTCACAGAAACCCCACTCTCCATGAGATAGAAACATCAGAAATATCACGACAGAGCACAAATCTAACATACCTAAGCCCAATCTTCATTCTGGGCTCCCTAATCAATTGTAACGTCTCATCGTCAAACTTACCATACTGAGCAAACCTATAATCCGAGACATGATTATCTCGAGGCTGCCACGGTGCCGTCTCCGCCACCTTGGGTAAACTCCTTCCTGCCGTCGCAATATAGGTCGACTTAAGATTTAGCAGCTGCGTCTCATTCAACTCCTCTCCCTTCCCCATTCTTGGCACGGTTGCGGTATGACCTTTCTTATCAAGACGCTTAAGCAACCTGACAACGAAGTGCGCCGTCGCGTCCGCCCCCAGCGTCCAAGAGGCATTGGTGTATCCAATCAGGTAAGCTGCATTAGGCAGACTCTGTAGCATAAGTCCGTTCCAGATAATTTTGCTGGCCAGGTCGAATGGTTGGCCGTCGATATCGATGGCCACCCCGCATGCAGCTTGGAGTTTTACTCCCGTGGCGGTCACAGCGATATCAGTTCCAATGAAATCGCCTGAATCGAGCTGGATGCCAGCCTCTGTTACTGCCTTGGTGGTCCCAGTCTTCACGTCTACACGTCCTGTGTGTAAAGCCTTGAAAAAGTCCCCATCAGGACGCAGGCACACTCTTTGATGCCAGGGGTTATACCGAGGCTTGAAGTGCGGATCAAACGGATTCCTTCCGGCTCAGCACGCCGGACAGACAAATATCGCCGGATCCCGACGAGGAAATATCGTATAGGGGTAAGGCGCAATTATTCCTCCGCTATGAAAAGGTAGCAAAGTTTGAAAAGCCGCGCACGAGGCTCCACTTGTTTTTGGAAGACTAGCGACAGCAACAGCCGCAGTGAGCCAGATTTGGATAAAGTTGTACCTCAGGGTGCCTTGGCAAGAGAAACCAGAATGATATATCAGAACAGTGTAAGCTTGGCAGCAAGAGCTCGGGTACGGTATGGAGAAACGGGGGGTGGGCAGTACGGCAGCATAAGGACAGCAAAGTTTGGGTAGTTCCGATTCTGCCAGTCAGACGTCGATTAATCAATACTACCCGTTGTTGCAAAATGCCCGCAAAATCTCCCAGGGACCCGAAACGGCGCGTGGCCCGCCGTAAGGTCACGTTGGCCTGCGACTCTTGTAGAGAGAAGAAGATCCGTTGCGATGGGAACAAGCCCATCTGCGGGCCTTGCGAGGGACGATCGTATCGCATCGACCAGTGTGTTTACAACACAGAAAACGCACGGTCTGCCAGCAGGGACGAGTAGGTCTTGCGTGCATGCATGAGTTGACGAGGACAATAAATTAAATACCACTCACGCAAACTAGATATATCCACGCCCTCCATCAGCGAATCAGACAACTTGAAGATGCCTATTCGAAGGCCGGGGTCTCCATCCAGACCTCATCCAACCCTCCAAGCCAGCTGCTCAGGGAAGCCAACAGGCCGGTTGGAATGCCGGCGGAGAAACCCGACTTCTCCCCATGCGCTGGCCATTCGCTTCCGGATGCGATGGGGCAATATCCGGCTTCAAGAAATTTAGAAGCAGAGGTACCACTAGGTCACGGGCTGCCACCCACCCATATTCACCGAGATAACTGCCAGTCCTCGTCGATAGGGGAAGCGACTTCGGGGAGCTATGAGTCTCCTTTATTTGAAGAGGGTGAAGGTCATATAACGGGCATGGGCCAAATTACAGCACCGGCGGCGGAAGGCCGACGCCGATCAGCCAAATTCCAATTCTACGGCAGCTCCTCTACTGCATCCCTCATGCGGTTTGCCTGGCAATCCATGCCCTCGCGGCCGATCAACGGGTCGCGCGCCGAACCGGCGTTCAGTCCACTTGAGGATACGTCCAAAGACTACAGGTTTGACGATTTTGCCCTGCAGCCGCGGACGCTTGCAGATCACCTTTTAAAATGCTTCTTTGATAAGGTCTATATTCTATATTCATTCTTCCACCGCCCAGCCTTTGAAGGCGCATATCGGAATGTCTGGCAGGCAGAGGACGGTTCCGATATTCCGCTGACGGACCAGCGGATCGGACTGGGATCCAGCTCCGAATCCGGGCCACGATCAATTGTTTTTCATTGTGCCCTCAATTTGATGTTTGCTCTGGGCTGTCAGTTTGCCGATATTACTCCTGAGGAAGTCGAGCCTGTCGCGCATTCTTTCTTCCTCCGTGCAAAGCGTTTTATAGGACTCGACTTCCTTGATATCAACACTCTCGGCGTCGTTCAGACGTTACTTATCACGGCATTATTCCTGCAGAGCTCCCCCTACCCCAGCCGATGCTGGAATTCCGTTGGAGTGGCATGTAGAGTTGCCCTGGGCCTTGGGCTTCACGAATCAGATATCCTCGCTACGTTGACACCTTTAGAGTCCGACATCCGACGGCGGACATGGCAAGGATGTGTGATGATGGATACGTAAGCCCTCGGATTCTAGTCTATACGTCTCCCACTAAGCCAATGCCCGCAGCACTCTGAGCATGACATATGGCAGACCAAGCATGACCACCCATCTCACCCCTCTCCCTCCACCGCCGGAACCGGTCACATCCAGCCGCCCAGAAGTAACGGAGGACCTGATGTCCTTCTACGCCGAGGCGGTTAAGCTGTACAGTATCCTAGACAGGATCCTGGCAGATGTCTACAACTATTGCCGTGGTCGGTCCCTTCAGCATGAATCTCAGCCGGCGACCAAAAGCCCTGGGGGCCTAGATACCGTCCTTGATATTGGAAGGCAACTTGCCATGTTTGAAGCCAATCTTCCTTCTATCCTAAAGTGGTCAGCAGATGCATCTGCAGTGAATGCGGATGGAGAGCCAAACCTGGCGCTCGCGCGACAACGAAATGTTCTTCATGCAAGGTGTGTTGTATCCATTCCACTTCCACCTGCTCCATTCCTGACTGGTCCGTATAGATACATCCATCTTCACCTCCTCCTCTACCGCCCTATCTTCACACAGCTCTACTCGGAAATTCGAGTGTCAGAAACCGGGCCAGAGCTGCAAAAGAATACGATACACTCCGCCACTGCGTATAGTACACTGTACTCCTACATGGCCAGCAATTGCGCTACCGCCTGCGTGATGGCCGCTATTGACCTCACGCACCTAGTCCATGAGACATACCAGACGAACGCCACCGACGCATGGTGGTACAATGGGTTCTGTATGCCGTCAACGAACTCCTTACTTTTTATCCAGGATACTGATTATGCACGGTTTAGACGTATCTACGGCTGCAATAGTCCTACTAATCTCGTTTTCTGCCCCGTCGATGCTGGATCCATCGACTATTGACAAAGCGCGAGGAGCCTGGAGAGAGGCAACAGCGGTTCTAGAGTTCATGGCTCCATCCCGCCGCTCCGCCAGCAACACCCTGCAGTTTCTACAGGCTGCATACCGCCAAGGTGTGCCCGGGGGTCCGCAGCAGATGGGCCCCGAAGCAGATGCGTCGCAGCTTCCCGGTGAAATATCTCAGTCAAATGATCTATCTAACCACCAGGATACCGACGTCGCGCAAATCCCGTTCTTCAACTGGGAGGGGTACTCCGCGAACATGGGGCCCGGTTTGGACGACCTGGGGTTCCTAACGAGGCTTGACTTTCCTGATACTTTGGCTTGAAGGGGGGCATTTGTTTTGATTGTATTTCTCTTGGGGGCGAACTGAGTATGGTTACCTTGACATCTACCCAATCTACCGCTTAAACTGCATCCATATCCATATCGACAGCACCAAAGTAACAATCTACAAAAATCAGTCCCAGTCCCGATCCCCAACCCTCCAAACGCCCACTTCCGCATGTTAAGTTTAACAACCAGCTTAAGAAATCCGAAACAGATTTGCCTGGGCTCAATATCTCGCGTCCATTCATTCCGTGGTCTTCACCTTCTTCGCCTTGGGCCGGTCCCATCCCACAACATCAGTCCCATGAATCCAGTCCATCAACCCGATAGTGCCGTAGTTGACGCGAAACTTCTCATGATGCAGGTCATGCAGTTCTGCCGGTGGCAATTTCAGGAAGTCGTAGCCACTATGGTCCGCCGCCGCTTCCCACAGCTCGAAGACGCCAAAGGCCATTACAGTCAGGAAGTGCGCGCCTTTGAGGTACAGCGGGAACATAATCGGCAAAACATTGGCAAGAAGATGCTCGACCGGATGCGCGTACTCGGCTGCAAAGGCGACGGGGGTGGTGTATTTGTGGTGCATCTTGTGAATGTATGCGTAGATGCTGGGATGGTGGAGAGCGCGGTGGACGTAGTAAAATGAGACTTCGCGCGCCAGCAAACCAAAGATGCAATCCACGATAAACGTTTTCAGTGAGGGCACGGTGGGTTCCATGTTCAGGTAGGCGTGGTTGAAGCCCCTCAGGTAGAGCAGGATGAATTGCAGAGCCACGATCCACGCGTGATTGAAGAGGCAGACCTTGATGCAATGCTGGATCTGGTGGCGTGTTGGCTGGCGGCGGGCGCCTTGGATTTTATGGCGCTGCGAGAATTTCGGGAACAGAGTGTCGATCAGCATGTAGACGGTTGCAGGAAGAATGAACCCGACGACCTGCGACAAGACGATGCCCGTGAACTCGATGGTTCCTGGCCTGTACGTGGTAATGATGTCGGTCCAGGCCGTCTGCAGTTGTGCGTGCACATCCATGCCAGTTGTTGTTCTTTGGAACGCTGTGATCTGAGACCTGAGATCTGAATACTGACATGGTTTCATTGAGCCATTATCGTATTATAACACTGATCACGGACCTGATCACGGACCTGTTCCGGTACTACCAAGGTTTGGATGTCGACAGAACCGCTGTTTTTGTGCACATGTCCTCATGCCCGGGCTGCAGCCGAAGGACATGACCTTGGAGTCTCGAGGACACTGAGCAGCTGTCCACCCTGACCTTGCCATGTGCAATGCCGACACCCCTTCTTGGTGCTCTACTTTCCTGGATTATCAAGGTGTCCATGCACGTGTCGTGCCTCTCGTCGGGTGCCTCCAGGGCACGGGTGCGTTCTGACGTGGCCTAACAAACACCGTATTCAGTACTTAAGCCCACGTGAATCCCAATCCGAAGACACAAGGGAGCAATGTATTTGTAGTTTCATCAATATCACAGCCGCCATGACTTCCAAGCCCTCCGAAGCCCCTTCCTTCAGCCAAATCGCGTGCGTTGGTGCCGGGCTATCAGCTGTGGCCCTGGGCGCAACGCTGCAGAGATGGTACGGCCTGGAAGACATTCAGTTCTTTGAAAGACATCCTGCAACTGGTGGGACATGGTACATCAATACCTATCCTGGTCAGTAATGACTCGCCTCCTCTACCTCTCACTTGCTCAACTTTCACCTTGTAGGATGCGGCTGTGATGTCCCAAGTGCTCTCTACAGCTTCTCCTTTGCCCTGAACCCCAACTGGACGAAGCTCATGCCGTCACACAAGGAAATCAAAGAGTATCTCGATAACGCGGTGGATACCTACAATCTCCGCTCGAAGATGACCTTTGGAACGGAAGTTGTCCGTAGTGTCTGGCGAGAAGATGCAAATCGCTGGCTTCTCTACCTGCACGATTTGGAGACTGGACGCCATTATACCCATGAATGCCAGATTCTCTTCGCAGCCACAGGACAGCTTGTCGAGCCTCGCCCCTGTGAGATCCCCGGTGCGTCGGATTTCCAGGGGAGCATCTTCCATTCGGCGCGATGGGACCACAGCGTTGAACTTGAGGGGAAGAATGTCGTTGTGATCGGAAACGGGTGTATTTCTCCCCTTGCTCAGTTTCAGCCGGGAATCTGACGGTAGCTACCTAGGCACTGCTGCGCAGATTGTGCCAGCGCTGGTCAACGATGGCAAGATCAAGTCCCTCACCCAGATTGTACGCACGAAGCACTGGATATTTCCAGCCCCGAACTTTGCCTACCCTAGGCTCCTGCAGTGGATTTTTCGCTATGTTCCACTGGCCATGAGACTGCACAGATTTCATATATTCCTGATTGCCGAGAACGATTTTCGCTTGTTTCCAATGACCAAGGGGGCGGCCAAACTTAGGGAGAAGCGACGCAGGCAAGTGGAAAAGTACATGCGTGAAGCTGGGCCAGAGAAATATCACGATCTTCTTATTCCAGATTTTGATGTCGGCTGCAAGGTATGTCTCTTTATTCTACCCTACCTTTACTTGGGTACCAAATTCAGGGACCGGCGCTCATTCGACCCTCAGAGACGGATCTTCGACCCCGGTTACCTTGAATCACTACACAGTGACAAGGTCTTCCTAACAGACGCCAAACCCGAAAGGATCACCCCAGAAGGCATCGACACAGACAAGGGCTTCGTACCAGCAGACGTGATCGTCCTCGCAACAGGCTTCCAGACCAACAAATTCATTCCGTACGTGGATGTGGTCGGACGCAGCGGGGAGAACGTCTCACAGCACTGGTCTAGATACGACGGTCCAGCTGCCTATAACTGCTCTGTGCTGAGTGGGTTCCCGAACTTCTTCATGCTCCTGGGCCCTAATGCGGCAACCGGGCATACATCGGCCATGATGGCTGCAGAGAAGTATGTTGCCAGCCTTGACCGTCATCACTCAGCGTACGGTTCTAACGGTCAATCTAGCTCCATCAATTACGCCCTCCGCGTCCTGAAACCAGTCTTGACTGGCGACGCCGCGTCGGTGGAACTAAAGCCTAAAGCTGAAAACGACTACGTTTACTGGGTACAGGACGCATTAAATGAACGCGTTTGGAACGCAGGTTGTGTATCTGTGAGTCAGCCTGCCACTACGTTCCGCTGCTTTGATCCAACCTGACTCGCATAGTGGTATCTTAATGACAGGAAGTGGAACTCCATGTCCTACCCGTGGACACAAGCTCACTACTGGTGGAGGAGTCTGTTCCCCACTTGGTCCGATTGGAATTTCAAGGTTTGACTTCCTCCGTCATATTGGGTGAACACGGTATTCTGACTAGAAACAGAAAGTGGTGAAGCCATCAGCCCGTCCATCGTCGAGAATCTTGTTTCTGGCTCTTCTATGCGTTGGGATCCTGGGAATCTCATGGTCCAGTGGCACTAAGAGTCTCTCTCTCCCACTGCTGAGAGGCGACCTGGCCACGGTGCTGTCCAAACTGCCCAGAAGATATACGAAATCAGTGGCCAGTTAAAGACGCTGCTTCGTTTGAACTTACCCTGCTCGGTCCGTACAATATTTGATTGGTTGTTTATCAGTATCTTTATACGCCCACTGTACAGTATGCGGCGTTTTAACTCTTGTTAAGAATCAGCCATCCTGGCCAAAGAACACTCCCAGTTTTGCTCTAGGCAGGATAAAGATGAAATTGGTTATGAAGCTCGGATGCCTCGTTTATTCAAGGCCATAGGTACTAAACAAGCTAGTACAGAGCTAGACCACTGTCTGATATGCTGTGTCTGAATATATATTCGAATCTTGAATAGCTTCACAAGACCCTGTCACCCTCTGCAATCAATATTTACAGAATAAGCCTGCTAGTAACGCCTAAAGTGTCGTCTATTGCATTGGAGCCATAGACATCAATCACGTTTATAGAAAACGATAGCAGACTCGCTAGACGAGCCCTTCACGACCACAATCCTACGTGTCAAATACGTTTCCTCGCCAACTATTTCCACCGTCCAGATCTGATTGCAATTCAGCAAGCACTCGAAACAACAATAGCGCCAAGATGCTTACCTGCTCGGCCGTCCATCCATAGTCCATACTACGAACAAAATCATGAATGAAAGCTTTCTCGATGGTCGCCTCTGCAGCTTCACCGTCCTGGCCCACGACCACCGCTTCAACCAAGCAACCAGCATCTTTGGTCTGCAGCTCAACAAGGGGGCAGACTCGTCCGCCTGAATTCCTTTTCTCGGAAACGTAATGACTGCGGATAACAACAGGACCGAAGATCGTGTCATCATGCTCGAACTCGGTCCACGTCAACGGACGCCTCTCCGGCACACCTTTCAGACCACCCGTCAGGGCAGCCTCCAAAGTCATCCATTCAACCGGTTCCCCCGTCGAGCCATTTGTGTCTGAAACCTGGGTAATCTTCAGCGTCATCGTCGACGTCCCGATGACCTTCCTTGTTATCCATCTAATGCCTTGCTACCCGTTTTTTTAGACTTGGGATCGTAGCCATCGGGGATGGCGGCATGCTTACCAGTTTTAGAACTGCATCTAGGTTGGCTGATCGGGTCTTGTCCTGTTTCCGGAGCCTTGGATCAGCCAGGTGTCACTCCATGGCATGCGGTAAGTTTACCATCACCCAGTTGCCACTTATATTAAGGGCAGCCATTCCTTCGCTCTGTATATGTCAGGTTCCGCAGGAAGTAACGGCTCGGTTGACCATGCAGCAAATAAAGAAGTACAGTCAGGGACGGTAAAGCAGACAGACCATATATGCCGTGTACTACACCGGTCGACTTCTCACCCGAGCGTCTGTTTATCCCTTGGAAGCTTCCAGCTGTCAATGCGGGGGACTGCTCGTGATTCTGGCCTGTTGCGCTTTGTAACCTGCTATCCGGATCCCTTCATGGGGGCTCGCGTTGTGGTGGTGGATATAATTCCTTTGACGTATACACCTGGTACTGCGAATATCTGTTCCTTATGGCGACCATTGAAGGTATTTGCTAACCGCAGAAGAAAATGATCGCATCTCGTACCATAAGTGTGACTTGAGTGATGAGCAAGAAATCGCAGCTGTTTGCGGGAAAATCAGATCCGAATTCGGCCATCCCACAGTCCTAGGTCAGTAAAAGAAAAAACGCTTATAATCATCTGGCTTAACGGGTCGCAGTCAACAATGCTGGTCTGTCGCGTGGGCGGACTATCGTCGAGGGCACATACAGCGACAACAACATAACGCTAAAAACTAATCTCCTGGCACCGTTCCTCCTCTCACGGGAATTCCTCCCGACGATGATCTGCCGAAATCACGGGCATATTTTCAACATCGCCTCGATGAGCGCCTATATTCCAGCGCCTGGGCTTGCAGATTATGCTGCGTCAAAAGCTGGGTTGATTGCGTTCCATGAGGTATGCCTCGACCGTCCTCTTCTAATATGAGCATAAAAGGTGCTGATCCAGACTTGTCCAGTGCCTTTCCCAAGAGCTTCGGGTCCAGAATAGGCCAAAGGTTCGCACCTCTCTTGCAGTGCTGGGCTTCACAAAAACGCCACTATTTAAAGGAGAGACAAATCAGTCGCAGTTCCTGATGCCAGTTTTGCATGTTGACACCGTTGTGGACGCGATTGTGGATACACTTGACAGTGGGCTAAGTCAGACAATCTTCCTCCCTGGAATATTTGGCCTTTTTGCAGGATTAGTGAGTTCCCTCTTTTTTGAGGCAGGATTACCGTTAACGGACTTCCAGCGAGGAGCACCTGACTGGTTTCAGAATCTAGTACGGAGTGGCACCAAATCGCTGAAAGTCGATTTTAAAGGTCGACAGGAAATTGATCCTGAGACGGGGAGACTTGTGAGATGAGGAGTATTTTACGCCCAATGGCGTTGCCTTAATCAATACAACCTGCGACTCCTGTGAAGCAACACCACTATCACCCGGCTTCTGGAGACCTGCAGAAGGTAAACATGGAGTGGATAGATATGCTGAATGCCCCGGTAAGTTGGTACGGAGGGAAATAGTCTTGTGCTCTTTCAGAACTTTCATTTCATGCTCGTGAAACTTTTGTCTTTGCAACGAATAGGTTGTTGTCGATAAATGAAGAAGTCCCTCTTCAATCTGCGTCAACTTATAACAATTTGCGCGAGATTTGGCGCGGTTTGTAGTAAGTATCGCGTAGTGACGGCGGAGCGTAGCTTCAGGCAAATTAAATAGAGGTGCTGTCTCACTTTAGATCTCATCTCTTTGTTTTGAATAGGTCGGATAGTAACAAGGATTCAGTCCTCTGGTTCAGGCGAGTTTCCAGCCCTTCGAGTGTGATAGAAGACAGAAGAACCCGGAAGGACGCGAAAGAGTGGGTAGATGCTTCACTCGCTTACCGACCACGTTAGTGTTAGTTAGCTATATACTTGTGTCCCAGGCATCACATTGATATTAGGATAGCTCTAACGCATAATTTACTATAGCTCACTCTTAAAATAGTAAACCATAAAATCTACTTCTTCGTATGAGGCTCTCATCAAAGAATTCAAGATAGTTCCTCATTATTGCCTAGATTCAATGTTCTCAAGGCACTACGATGCGAGGGTGAAAACCAGGGAACCCTCCCAGACTGATACCTGCTGTCATTCTGTCTTTAAACTAGTCGCCAGTCTACATCTCTGTAGTCAATAAGAGTGAACCCTTCCGGAACAACGCCATTTTCGCGGACCAACAGCTATTCCTCAGGCGGATCAATCTGTTCCCCAGACAGTATTTGTAATAGCTTCCGGCTTCATGTACGAGACCGGCAAGACCTAGATATGTCAGGCAGGGACTTGCTCTCTAGCACTTGCCTATTTTTACAGACAGCGCTCCTCGTGTACTCCCTCGCTTGGCTAACATAAGGATTGCCGATTCGGTGCCATTGCTTGTCTATGGTAAAGTTATAATTCGGCTTACTCGGGAACTGCCGGATACTTAAGATTGTCGCAGCTCGACCCACACGCCTGATAAAGCCCAATATACCCAGATCCACCGCAATTCTGACTAGGATCACCACTGCAAGGATGCAGACACTTGCCCATTGGCGAAACAGACGGCATCTTCTCAGGGTCAATGCTATCCCCACAGTAACACTCCCGCGAATACTCGAGCCCAGCATAGGTATAACCGTCCCTCTCGCAAGTTTGGATACACTTCTGAACCGTCATGTCGTCGCCACTGGAGCTCGACCCGGTCAGGATGTGCTCAAAATTGATGTAATCACGAGCACACCCGATCCACGCCCACCCTAGTTCCTTAGTAACGTCGGTGTAGTAGTGCTGCGGCTCTCCAATTCCGGGTGCGGTACAGTTCTTGACTGCTACTGCGTCTTCAGGTCCTGGTTGAACGGGGTTGCAACCAGGAAGGGCGTCGAGCCATCCACCTAGTTCCTCGTCGATTGATGGTTCCAAGAGACAGCCTTCTGTTATTGTCTCGTCGTAAAGATCAAGGACATGGCAGTTCCTGATATCACCGTTCATGTCGTCGCAGGTATTGATTGCTTCTTGAAGGACGGGCACGTCCCACCCATTGACAAAGTCCGCGTGTAAGCCATATCCAGTCTTGTCACCATTTGACCACACAAACGGCTGGCTGTCTCCGTACCACATATCTGCAAAGTCACCTGTTTGCCAGATAACTTCGATAAATATGGAGACGATCTTGATGGGGTGTGACTCGGGACAAGAGCCGCTATTATACGATTCAACCGGGTATGCCATGTGCGACTTGTGATCAGGACTATCGTAGTCCACGCCATTCCAGCAAGAGGGAAAGAAAACTTGAGATCGAAGTCCATTTGGGCAGTTATAGTTTGGAAATCCGTTTGTTTCGGGTTTTGCCGGGCCGTTGTAGTCCAAGCAAGCGTAGCTCCGGGCGTCTGCTTCGTGCGTGCCTTTGTATTTCCGGTCCATTGGGTTCCCAGCAACCATGCGGAGGTCTTTCGGGGGTGCTAGAACAGTTTGGTTTTTTGGATCCGGTCGTTGTCTGGTCAGGTCAGTATCTGGCGAGGGCCAGCTAAAGGGCAAGGTTGAAGTCGTACAGGTAGTAAATAAGAGCTCCCCCGTTCTGCTGCACTGGGGTAAAGCTACCATTTTCGGCCTGGTAGTAAAGTGAGGGAATCCAGTAGTTGGACTTGTCGGCAATGGGCGAGCAGGAACTGCATTTCGACTCCTGCGTCTGGTTGTAATCCATCGTGAACCCAAAGCCGGAGCCTCCCATGATAGTATGGGCATGACTTGCGGCAACGCCTGGCTGGACAATGGGATCGGCTCTCTCAACTACCAGTGGATTGCTACAGGGGACCTTGAAAAATGCCGAGGCCAGCTCAAGGCACGACAGAATGAATGGCAGATGCTGAGCTCCTGCTCGCATTTTGAAATCAAGGTACTGAACGTGTGGTGAAAAGAAAGAAAGAATGAAAAATGAATGGAATGAGTGTTTGCTATCTACTGTAAATCATGTTCTCCTGCAGCGTTTATATATGTAGACCCTTGATTATGTAGGGACCGTCTTCTTCTCTACCTCAACCCTGTGTGGCAGGCTTACTATAGTCAAGTGCCGAAAGTTATTTGATTATCCAGTACCGAAGGCCCGGTCCTCTCGCTCTCCATTGGTCGAGCGGTCCTTTTTCAGACCAAGCTGAAACGGACCGTTCAATCAGAAGACCTTACACCGGCCGTTTGGTTGCATTTGATGTGCTCCTGGCTCCACACATAATCTAATTTAATATCCGGGATTTGTATGCTCGGCATTAATGTGCTTGGTAGCAATCAGACCATGAACAAGTGAATGCTACAGTTACTTCGGACTTAGGAAAACATATCAGTAGGCTGGTCAGTTGGCGGCTTGGCGGCGTGTGAAATCGAGGCTAGATGAAGCAGATAATATAGCTTCGTGTACGGAACTTATACCACAATACAAGCACTATACAACAACACGCGAAATTGGAAGAAATATACGATAAATGTAACAGATCAGACTCATATCAGCGAGTTCAGTTAGGATAGCAATCTGACTGGTTAAACCAGAACTGTAAGAGATCCTGTAAATGCCTTCCCTAGAGCCTCAATTGCCCCCTCTCGCTTCAAACTCGGCGATTTATGGAGTATGTTCCTTTCTACTCCTAACTTCAAAGCTTTTTTCAAGAGCAGTCTGGATTCTTGGCATTTGGCTAGGGCCCAAACAATCTTAGACTAATTTAGAGCCAGCGGACTCTAAGGACGTACTCCGGTTGACCCCGGTGATTTTGTTAGTATGGTGGGCCTTTGCAACGAACAAATCATATTAATTCTGCCGCTATCTAGTAATTATCTAATACTTTGTATGACCTCCTTCTGCGTTAATTACTGCCTGACATGAGTGACATCTAGCTGGCATAGATTCAATTAGATCCCTAAGGAAACCCTCAGGGATGGCATCCCAGGCAGCTCAAACTATCTCTCATAGAGCATTATATGATAGTTAGTGATCATCTGGATATTTCTCTTAGATCCAGTCCTTTATCCAATTCCATACTGCCTTAATTGGATTCAGATTAGGGGAGTAGCTGGCCATCTAATTAGATAGATTCCATGCTCATGAAGCTCATTAAGTGTATCTTGACTAGAATGGCCAGGTGCACCATCTTATATTAACTAGAGCCAGATATCTTGCTGCTTAAGGAGGTAAAGATATCCATTAATTATAGGAATCACTCTCTCAGAATATCGTTCTGTGTTAATTATACCCTATTCCTTCTCCCAGAATAGACATGATCCTTTAGTAGAACCATGAAATGAGCCCTAAAACATCCATCCATGTCTTTTAGGAGGAGAGATGCAAAGATATGTCTCCTCTAGCTCTTCACTGGCCTTCCTAGTCATGTAGATTCATTTATGGAAGCCTGATGTAATCATGTAACCTATGTCTCATCAGACCAAAGGATCTGATTCCATTGCTCTATTATCTAGTTTATATGCTCTAATGCCCAGGCAAGACGTACATACTTATTCTAGTCAGATAAAGGAGGTTTTCAAAGGGCAATATAGTGAGTATAACCTAATTTCTTTAATGCATGAGCAAGGGCGGTTAGTCCAACAGGTAGATCAAGTTCTTGATAGAGTTTATAGAAAGGTAAGCAGTGATTTCACATTCTTCACCAGGACATATCAGTTAAGCAATCTTTAACTTATTAGATACAGGGTCATCCTCTGTAAAGTTAGCACACTTTTCATATAAGCTCTTTCTAATAGTCACCTAATTATTGTCCTCTAATGAACATTTAAGCATAACCATAACATCGTCAACTTGACATGGCAGTTCCGACACCATATGCCCAGATCCTAAGTTCTGATCAGTTTGACAATGGCACCGGAGAATGATCCCGCGTCATACGCCCCAAGCATAGTATCTGATTCTTATTCATGAACATTTCTCTGATCTGCATCGGCAAGGTCGAGACGCATTCGCCAGGGTTGGAGACTGCGGGCTTCATTAGCAGTTGGTAAAGGCCACCGGGACTCCTGCCTGGCTGAGGGAGGCTGTCTTTACCACTGGGAAGAATCAACTTGCGAGAACCGACTGGATTTGATTAGACAGAAAAAGAACATATATGGTGAGCTAACGTACCTCGGTGACCATTCACATAGGTCTGTTGGGAAGCTTCGCATACATCATCGACAGCTTCGGTTATTCTGATACTCACAGTCACCTCAATTGCACCTGCCATATTTTGTCACAAGGCCTAATGGAGGCAAAAATCAAATGCAATGCGCAATAAAATCGAACTGGCTATCGGGGATTCCAAGCTGTACATCTACTACTTATAAACGTCGAAATCATCGTATTTTTCATGTTTCGTTATTGAGGTCCCTGCTCAGGCACCGTAGAAGGGAAAAGGGTGATCGTGGGTCCTTGCGTCCCTATCAATCCTAGCAAAAGGGCCATCCCTGCTCGGCTAAATGGTTACTAAGATTGTCATTACAAGTGGCCAAATTGGACATGTCTAAACATAGACTACCATAAACCCCGTACTGAAAGGGGCGGCGCATAAATGCGCCTTCACCCCAACAGCATCAGTAACACCCAACCAAATTTATCAGAAAGCCCGAATTCCTATGATTATGCCAGAATACGGGAGAATCTTCCCCTTCCAGGGCAGCGATGAGGAATACATGTCTTATCTCGAGACAGAACTTTTGAAGTCCATCAGAGGGATTAACCAGCGTCCCAACACACCCCCTCCATCTGTTTCTACAAGAGACGAAGAGCTCCGTATACTATACTACGATCCATATACACAGAAGGACAGACGAGACCCTGTATACTGTGACATTCATAATACTCTCAGGGGGGATCACGTACAAGGCTCTACTCGCGCCGATAAAATCAGTGGGGGGCTCAGCCCTTTGCTTGCGCCTCAAGGGTTGAGGGAGCTCCGTTCATTTTTAAGGCATGTTGGCATCGCCACTATCACTTCATGGGAAGACAGAAAGAGGGAAATGTGTATTTCCTCACCAAGCGAGAATAGACTTGCGATCCAGATGTTGCGCGGATAGGCGCCTGGATTGTTCGCCTATGACCAAGAGTTCAACCCAAAAACACCAATAATTTCCCATGCAGACAACAAGGAGCTTGTGTAAAAAGGGTGCAACTATGGCGCACTTAGTTAGTTAGGAGAAGCCAATGGAAATATGATTCTTCTTATGACTAAATTTCATTAACTGATATTTGTTTCATACTGCTCTATCATGCTTCATGTTGGCAACTCTAAGGAGACCATTAACTGGATGCTTTGAACATACATGAATGATCTTAAGCTAAAGAGTCTGAAACGGCTCTGGCTAGGGAGCATCTAGGTAAATCGCTGTGTCTCAGAGCTCCTGAAAAATGGTTAGGGTTTTTGAAGCTAGGAACTGTTCTTGCTATGTATGATCACCAAATAACTAGACTTCTAGAAACACTAACTGGCAGGAGATCCCCAATTAATCCAATAATATGGACAATTCGCCTTTACAAAGGAAAGCTAGTCAGAATTTGTTAATAGCACTGGAGTGTTAGACCCACAGCTGCTGATCTTTTGGAGGGTTTATTCCCTACTGCATTCCTTGCATCATCAAAGTCATCATGGGTGATGGACTTGAGTTTGTACACCACCAGTGGTTAGTTAATAACAAAAGCTGACTAATTATAGATTGATAGATATATGTGATTGCCTTGGCTATAATCTTAAACTTATCTTGCTGATCTATCACAATTTCTTTAAGAATGCAGACACTATTAATTTTAACCCTTTCTTATATGCACAAAATGGCGCAAGCTTTAGACATAACTTCATAACTTTCAACCCATATGAATATGTGAGACCCAGGGAGTATTAAAATTCAATCTATACTGAACTTCAGCAAGACCGTTTCCCCCGTGTCTGAGAAGTGGTCAATGGTTCACTTTCATTTCTTCACTTGTGTTTTCGATAGGCGGTATAATAAAGACAGCCACTAATTTTGGGTGTACTGTAACGGGCCCTTTAATTTTTCTTATTAGTCTGTATATAAGAGGACCACCTGGCGAGCTACAAGCAGATTCCGATACATTGGAAAATGGAATTATGTTGATAGGGCTGGGGAGATCTTGCTCCTTAAAAGAGGTACAGAACATCTAGACAGTGAAGTTCTAACCCTATAATGCATCAGCATCGCATTTGCAACAGGTAGCGAAAATGTACAAACCTCAAGGCCCACATCTTTAAGTATTGGGTTCACGTAAGGCAACACATCTTTATGTTTGTATTCTCGGTTCCCTTTTGAATCTTCTGTAAATTCCAGTTTCGGAAGATCTTTCGCCAAGGTCTTCAGTTTCTGCTTAGCATTGTCATTGAGCGGAGTGTCTAATATCATAGAGATAATTGTCGAAAGCAAATAGTCGGGTTTGGCAGATTAAATCAACTGAATTTTACACCTAGCATCTAACTGCTGAGGTTATGAAGCTATTAGCAACTTTTATTCATCATGTTCTAAAGCGAAGGGTTGAGTCATTGGCATAGTGGAAGCTGTAAATTCAAATTCTGTCCTAAGGTCCTGAGTGCCCTTGTATTGCAGCACATCATGGTGAGCGACGTAGTGGGGTATTGGAGAGGCACCAAGAGAACCACTTGAAAAGCTGCCAAGGCTGTACTGTTCTGATAGACTGTTTATCTAACACCTATGTGACTGAGAGAAGTTGCTTGCGTAGGAAGTAATGCACCTAACCACCATATTATGGAAACTGTATGTAAGTAGTGTGAAATTCCTAATTTAGAACACGTCAGGGAAAAAAGTTACAAATCCTATTATGCTGAGGGGCCAAAACGGCCTAATTTCATGTTTTCCCAGTTTCTGTGGCAGTTAGATGGTTGTGGCCTACTCACTGCTTTCTTCTGAGAATCCAAGCGCGTGGTGCATAGGGACAATATTCCCCTGCTCGTTTTGAGCATTGGTAGGTAGTTGGGTGTGTTAAACGTGGAAATATTTAACATAAGCACTTGAGCCTATTGTGGTGCGGTGGGGGTTGTGCTGAAATGGGTACTGTAGACCAAGTTGTGTTGAATATAATCCCAGGAAACTATGATGAATAGATTCCAATCATCATGCCGCCCCAACAGGAAACATAGTCATTGGCTGTTCATCATTTGAGGTGGATACATTATTAGAAAGAAGACCATGGGAACATGTGACCTGTAAGGCTGTAACTACCCGCTCAAGCAGGCTCAAGCAGGATAACTAAATACTCATGATATTAGTCACAAAGCAACGCACCATGGATAGAGGGCGATTGTTCTGTCTCCTAGCAAAGCCTTACAAGAAAATTTGTCCCACACCAACTTTCTCATTCTACCTGCAGGTACCCTACATTAGCTCACATACAGGATTCAGCAAGCGTGGCATGGCCGTCCTTCGCCGTCCCTCAGAGCCACGCGTTTTCCCCAGATCAGGATGGGATACCATCGACCCTTCAGTACCAGTTGAAGAAGAGACAATCCCCACCTACAGACCCGATAAATTCTACCCGGTTCACATCGGCGAAGTGTTCAACCACCGATACCAAGTTGTAGGGAAGTTGGGGTATGGATCCAGCGCGACAGTGTGGCTATGTCGCGACCTCTTGTAGGGGTAGCCGATTCCCTGTTTATGTGCTCAGTCTAACAGGGCAGGGAGCATCGCTATATAGCACTGAAGGTCTACACGGTATCAACATCAGTGATGCGAGAGATCGAAATTTACAACCATTTAAGAACTGTCCACTCTGACCACGCTGGTCAGTCGTGCCTGCGACCGTTAATTGAGGTTTTTCAAGCCCAGAGCCCTGATGGATGTAGTGTCCATACTTGTCTGGTGCATCCGCCTCTTGGGATCAGCCTCGACCAGCTGGCGTCATTGCTGCCAGGCGGGGTCATGAGCTGCGCTATGGTGAAAACCACTATCCGGAATATTCTGGCCGCTTTAGATTTCCTTCACACGGAGGCACGGGTTATACATACAGGTCGCTGCTTTTACTCCATCGAAACAAAGTCTCTCACCGTTTGGAGAAGCTAAAGACTCAGAAATTCATCATTAGACCTGCAACCGAATAATATTCTTCTTGGCATCAAGGACGAAACCATACTATCGAAATTCGAGATCGCGGAATTTGAGTCTCCCGTGCCGCGGAAGACCCTCGGGAACCGTACCATTTATCTTTCACGGCCTCTCCCCATATCCTATGGCACGCCTGTTCTTTGTGATTTAGGCGAGGCTCGACTGGGCACGGAAAAACAACAAGGCGATATCATGCCAGATATCTACCGTGCACCGGAGGTCATTTTGGACATGAGCTGGGACTATAAAGTTGACATATGGAATGTTGGAATGGTGGTATGAGCCTTCGAATTCGCACATCTACCCATCATGGAACTGATACTGGCCGAGATCTGGGATCTATTTGAGCGCCGTCACCTTTTTAAGGCTCGGAATCCTGAGCGAAAGTTGGACGACGGATATTATCTTGCTGAGATGCAGGCGGTACTTGGAGATCCTCCTCTTGAGTTCCTCGCTCAGAGCGAAAGGAGCTTGCAGTTCTGGGACAAAAATGGTTTGTGTAGCATTTTCCTCCCCGAGTTATTTACGAAACGTAATTGAAGTTTGAGTTTAAATTAACAGTTTCTGGACTCTTAGGTAAATGGAGAGGTGCAGCTCCCGTCCCGGATTATAATCTCAATACTCTGGAGGAGAGACTACAGGGTGATGAAAAAGACGAATTCCTTCGTTTCCTCCGACGGATGTTATGTTGGCAACCGGAAGAAAGAGCCACTGCAAAAGAACTTCTTTTTGACCCCTGGTTAATGGAAGGTCTCTTTAAGTGAAAAAGGGATTCCCGTACCGAGGACTTGCCATGCTCTTTATCAATCAAAATGATCACCAAGAAGTCACGCTCAATGTCCGCCATTTGCACGTTCTCGCCGCGAACGGCAAGGCCCGATTCTCCTCCTCTCCTTCTCTCCTTCATATTGGAATACGCGGAGTTATATGGCAGCTAGTGCTAAATGGCACGCGGAGTTGTGAGGGATAGAATTCTGTCCGGGGTGGGATTTTGTAACGTTCGAGAACCATCGTACTGGGAGCGATGGGACTTCTGTGGGAGAAATTGCAGACCCATTCGTATTGTTCCATATTGGCTTGCCTGTGTTAACGAAGCTGCTTGTAGTGTGTAAATGAGGGCTTTGGCGTGGTTTGTGTTCAACTGTGGCCAGTGGGTTAGTGGTATTGCCGTCAGTTCTATGGATGCAGACATTGGTCAGGTCTCGAGGGCTATGAAGTCGATGGCTGGTTGGCTGCTGATTCACCCTCGTGTTCATCCAGTGCGTTGGCAAGATTATCGAACTGAACACCATTGCCTAGCTGGAGTCCTTCTCGAGCGTTCAGCAGCTTGCATAACTACGATTATGGCATGTACATGGCCCTTCACTGCAAATCGCCCATGGCACTCATGATCCGGTTTACATAGGAGGTGACTGGCGGCTAATAGCCACACTTGTAAAGAAACGGTTCCTAGTTCTTGGATGCGTCATTGGCTGTTGTTTATTTCATCCAAATGCGACAGCAAACCAGTCAGTGACACAACTGAATCTGAAGAGTCTACCAGTGAAAGAGGGCAGACCTGGGCGCCTAATCGGGGGATCGATGCTAAACGCACCATTAATCAGGAGATACCCCTCAGCATTCACTTGAAGCCAGAAAGTCGTCTGAATTTGGGAACGGGGATGAAGGGAACGAGGTCTGTTTCAGACATATTCTTTAAGTCCGGTGTTCTGATTTTTGCAATGTGTCAAGTGACACAACCAGGACTGTAAACCCATTACTGTTTCGCCTTGGTAGAACGACCCTGCTGAATATATATCTCTTCTCCACAGATATTTATCTGTTGTTCCTTATTTGCTTTCAAGGGACAAAGACCTTTTGGGTTCTTTCTTATGGCGTACAGACCTTTGAACACTAAATATTTTCGTCAATGGCACTGGCAATATCGCTAGTACTATTGACTGGCAGAGCATATAGGCAAGCCCCTTGTTCCTGGAGGGCCGTCATCCCCATTTCCTCAACTATAATGGTGAACTACTACTAACACTGCCTGAATATTTGAAAAAGCTTCACAAGAATATGTAACATAGATCGAATTCATCCTCTAGTCTTGAAGGACAACCCCTTTACACACTGTGACTTCGTTATCATATCATCCTCCAGTCTATTTCCCACTCGGCTCACTGAACACATGACTAAAAGGCAGCGACGTCCCAAAGTTCGGGCTCCCGTCGCTATGCGTCCCAAGCTGTTGGACCATCGTGTACCGAGAATTATCACAAGCACCCGCACTATTATTCGTCGCATGGTACGCGATCCACGTCTGCGAGGTATCCGGGCTCTGGAAGAACGAGTTGTGACCCGTGCCATAGTTTCCGTTCGCCGAGGACAGCACACACCCATTACGCTTTTTCCAGGCGCTCGCCGACGTGGGGTTGGTTTTTCCGTCCCAGGTTAGCAGACCGAGGCAGTAGTATGAAGTCCAGCAATAAGACGCCGAGTAGGCGATGTATGTGACCCCGTTGAAGTAGAGCGCGACGGGCCCTTCATTGACGGGTGTGCCGTGCTTCTCAAAATCCAAGGTGGGCTGCGAGATGACGTGGATGTCGCCGGTGAGGGAGACGTAGTCCGCGCCCAGCTGCTGCAGGCAAATGGACTGGTAAGTTACGCCGTGGAAGCAGGAGAACATGAGGAAGTTGCCGTATGCGTTGGTGCGGAGGACGGAGGCGTCGATGGACCATTCGGTTGTTAGTTGGCCGGTGTAGGTGAATGTGTCCCAGGGAGTGGAGCCGCCTGAACTTTTAGCTTTGGACGCGAAACAGTTATGGTGTCTTACCGGTCAGAACGTGGAGTCGTTGGCCGTCGAGATCGGTTGTCTGGCCGGCCGTGTAGTAGATGTACCACTTGCCGCCGAGGTAGTGGACCTCGGGAGCCCAGACGTTGCAGCATCGCGAGGCAGTCGAGGTGGAATAGACTACTTTCTTTGGGGCGGTCTTGAGACCCTCGATGGTGGTTGCGCGTGCCATCTGCACGTCGGTCCATGTCGTGGTCATCAGGTAGTAGTACCCGCCAGTATACACCATGAACGGATCACTTCCTCCTGGGTTGCGGATGGGGTTGGTAAACGCAGAGGTAGCGGGAATTAGAGCTAGCAGCCCTACAAGGGCTGTGATGAGCTTGGAGAAGATCCTCGTCATGTTGGCGTTGCGTTATCGCGGAGGTCTGCAGTGTATAATCCTCATGGTGTAGTTGAGGCCGTATTTATATGATGCCTGAAGAGTCAGTCAACTGCATCTAGGCAATTTGATCTGTTCGCAGTGTGGCAGGGTTGATATTGACCCCGCCGGAGAGTAGCTCCTTTGATATAGGTTACTCTCCGGATTTACCCCGCGATTCGTCATGAAGACCGGGGCCAAGCGGCGCCATGCGGCACTACGGAAGATCTATGTGGATCCGTTTTATTTTCTTGAAGAGCTCTGCGAGTATCGAGAAGGTCTCCATTCGTTGTGGGAGTCTTGGTTGCAGTAGTGGCGGTCCATTTCACCATTTTGCGAGCTGTGATTAGAGGAAATATTGGCGGATATCTTCTCGGCTTATATTGAATTACCTGCTGGGCAATGACTAAATAATCACCACAGAAAGACATGCAGAAGATGATTGATTTGTGCAGCAAGTATTTCTATTTCGTCGACTACGTGACAGGCGATAGGATATCTTCAACGGACATCAACGCTGACCAACGTGCACCAAAGCTAATAACAGCCGTTTCCGCTCTGGCCAGTATTGGTAGAGCTTAAAAGTTTATATTGATGCGTGGTTTGATACCCCATCCACACACTCCTCCTCAGTCCCGTTCCAGCAGCTCTATCGTCACGCGAGCCTTGTCCGATTCCATCAGCACAGATCACGACATAGAAATGGGCCAATTGGCATTGGCATACCAAACCTCCTACTTCAAATCCGCCCGCTCCGTATCAGGCTCAAACTCCATCACCTGGAAGCTCTTGATATCCGACTCCAGCTCGGAGGAGCCAGCCTCTCCGATGGAGAATTCAAAGTTCTCACATTCATCGTCCGAGAAGAACATAACCTTCTGGTTCTTGGGTAGGTCGCTAACGGTCACTTCCTCGCCCTTGGCTAGGTCGGCAGAAGTGCAGTAATCGGGCTCAGAGCCGGCCCAGTATCCGGTGGTGACTTTCCAGGCGCTGGCTGCCAGGGGGAGGGCAAGGAGGACGGCGGCGAACTTCATGGTGATAGATTGGACTCAATGATCGATTCGAAAAGGGTACTTTGGGAGAGGGGATGGAAGCGAGTGGTAGAAGCAGGATTGAAGATGAGATGAGATGAGCGAAAAGGTGTTGTTTATATGGTTGGCATGGGAGCAGCCGCTGGAATTGAGATGTGGCGAGCTGAAAACATGCATGAAGATCATCATTATGAATAGTATGAGTTGTCTCCTTAAATCTGTAATGTCCTCGCTGTATGATTCGCTAACATGAGTAGTTGTCTGTAAGGGATATCACGATTGTTACACAGATCCACAGCCAATGGCAATAACTTCCTGTGCACTGGGGTGGTCCTCCCTGCAGTGGTAGGTTTAATAGTTTAACAGATTGGGTTTCCAGGCGGAGTCTTGCATATGGACGTCTTTTGGGCATTTGATGACTATAAACATTTACTACTCTACCACCTGCTATCGGGAAATTGAGATCACAGTAGGTCCAATACAGTGCAGCTGTACCAGATTGCAAGGAAAACTGGATCTTGCCTGCTGATACAGTGTTTGGGAACAAGGCCCTTTGCACCAACTTCCGAATTAGTGTTCTTTAAAAGCTCTCGGCAACAGACGAGGGCATGCAGCGTTGAAGAAATGTTCATTGTCTCAGAATGAAGCATTCACGTTCGTCTTCGGGTTCTTGCTTGTCCCAGTCGATTCGGAAAGCAGCGTTTCCTTGATGAATGTTCCTGCATTGCCCTGAGATGCCCTGAGATGCAAGTATTAGTAAAGTAAGAGAAGAATATTCCACCCATCGGAGTCCCCAATCTGCAGGCACGAGGTGGTCTGTTGACCCCAAAGACACATTTCCATGCAAGGGGGTGGATTCTGCTATGTCGCCAGAGAATGAAAAGTCCGTCGCCTGGGCAAACGTTCTTCGGGACACACATCGCACACTATTATTGGGCGGATAATGAGCCTCAACAAAGACGGGAATCCAATGGTCGTGGAGCTTAATCTGCTGGCTGTGAGATTGTTTGTGTTTACGAAGGTTTACTATATCCTGATGAATCGGTATACGGGACGGGTATAGACTGGGATGAGCGAAAAGCTGACTATTCATGACCTTCATTTGTGGGCGACGGCACTGACGAATTCTACGACGACAGACTACACTGACTACAGCAAGAATACAGGAAGTAAGAGACCGACTGATACTTGAAGACAACTTCGGTATTAAAATATAGCTAGAAACAAACCCAACACCATATCCACTGCATTAGACATGACTTGTCAAAAACAGAAATCAAGCAGCCGACTTGCCAGTAACAGTCTCGTGGTACGTGGCCTCGGCCTCGATCTCTTTCTCGACCTGCTGCAAATCAATATGCGCAATGGCATCGTCGCCGTCGAAGATGCGCGCCACCTCCTCAAGGGTGTTACCCTTGGTCTCGACGTAGAAGAAGTAGACGAAGACCAGCTCGCAAAAGTTCCAGAGGGTGTAGAAAAGCATAAAGTTCCAGTGGTTGGGGAGGTTGTTCCAGGCGAGCATGTTGGTCTGGTTACCGAGGGCCAGAATGGCCTGGACGGTGATGTTCATGATCATCATACCCTTGGCACGGAGCTGGAAGGGGAGAATCTCGAGGGCGTAAGCGACCAGCAGACCGGAGAAACCAATGTCGTAGAAGACGCCGAAGAGCCAGATGAAGACGATCTGCGCGTAGCCAGAGCCGCTGTTGGTCTCGCCGGAATTTTCGTAGACGGCACCGGTGATGGTCCAGCACACGAAGGAGCCGACCATGCCTGTGACGAGGTTAGTTTTGATGACGGAAAGGAAGAGTTTCAAGAAAGAGACAAACCGGAGATCGAGATCAGGAACAGAGGACGACGACCGAAGTTGTCGACCTGCAGGGCGGCGGCGACCGTGACAATGATATCAAGGATGGTCTTGCCGGTGCTCAGGGCCAACTTCTGGTTCTGGCTGGTGATGCCGGCCCCCTCGTAGATCTGGCTCATGTAGTTGGAGAATAGAGCATTACCCGAGTACTGCGAGATGACACCCAGAGAGATGATAATGGCCAGACGCCACAGGTTACCCTTGGTGCGGATGAAGTCAATGTAGCTGCTCTTCGAACCCGCCTCCTTCTCCAGACGGATGGTCTCCTTGATCTCACGGTATTCGAACTGCACGACGGTGTTGAGCACGTCGCCACCACCGTGGTACTTGGTGAGAACAGCGAGGGCCTCTTCGTGGCGCTCCTTGTTGATGAGGTAACGGGGAGATTCGGGGATCCCTTTTGAGGCCGCTCCGATTAGCCATACTCTATGAATAAAGCGGTTACCAGAGGATGACTTACAGTAGATAAAAATGAGCTGGATGACCGAGGGAACAATCTGCAGCAACGTGATAGACCGCCAGGACCACTCGCTCGCGACGTACGAGGTACCCCATCCAATGACGGAGACGAGCAGCGCACCGGCGTTCCAGAGACAGTTATAGATGGTGGTAACGGGACCACGGTGCTGAGGATGAACGATCTCAACGAGCAGCAGGGGAGAGCACATCTGGGCCAGGCCGTTGCCGAAACCCAGGATGAACCGACCGGCGATGTACATGTTGTATCCGTTGGAAGCACAGCCGACGACGCCTCCGACGACCATGAAGCAACATCCGATGGTAATGGCGATTCTACGGCCGAAGTGATCGGCAATGTGGGGACTGGAGGTCGCCGTTAGAATTTCCTTGCGCATGGCCAGGGGGGCTGGAGAACATACGTGATGAAGTAACTGAGAATGGCACCAATATTGAACATGTTGACCAGGAGACCCAGCCAGTTGCTCTCCTTCACCTTGGGGGAGAAGTAATGGGTCCAGTTGTCCATCATCTGTGAAGTATTGACAAGCATACTATACGATCGCATTAGTTCTGCAGGTCTTTCTCCCCGGCAGAGTACATACCCATCGTAACCGGTGGTGGCCGAAGCAACCATCAGCGCCGCCGACAGCATGTACAGCTTGCGCAGGTGAGGCTCTCTTTTCCAGTCGACTTTCTCGAACTGGGGAGCCTCAGCCTGGGCCATCTGCACCTTTTCCTGTGCGCCCCTGGCGCCGATGTTGGCGATCTGAACCATTCTGACTGTGTTGCAAGCAAATGCACCTCTGAGACGAACACGAGAGGACTGATCAAGAGCGAGAGAAAATAGCGGGGTAGTAGCTACATATTATAGCACTGAATCTGGGGAGAAACACGAGGATGGAGCACTCTGCGTTTGACCCGACTTGGTCAAAGCTTGGGACGAAGCAACGCATAACAAAAGGGCTGAAGGGTAAAATATGGACGCCACCAGCTGACATGAATGATTGGTGTGATGAATTGAGCCGGAGACTACCTTGTCTAGGGGCCAGTGAGAACGAACTGGGTAAAAGGGGTGTTGCCGACTGGGATCAGAAGGGACTAGGCCAGCACTCCAGCAGTGCCCATGAGGTGATTGGATTGATGCAGCAAGCCAAGGAGCGTCTGGACAAGCTAATATCACGGCCAGAGCGCTTGGCGTCTCGCTTGCATCGACGGCTTTTCGGCTGGACGGGCCGTATTCATTCCCTCGGTCCATCTTGTCAGTCTGTCTGTTATTGAGAAGTTACTGAGATCGAGACGTGTATGTGATGTTTTCATTCCTACAAGCGAGTTATCCCATATGTTCTCTACTGATATGACAATGGTTTGATACCTGAAGAAACGGCGGCCAGACTGAATTTCTCCGTGTCCGGAGACTTGGCCTTTTTGTGCTGGGCAGTTAGTTCCACCAGCCCCGTGTCTCTCCCCGGGTAAAAGAGCGGATCTTCAGGATAAACTCGAGCAGCGAGGCACGTCTTTGGTTAGTTCCCCGGGTCTAGTTTGATCCCCGCATTCTTTTGTTGGAGCAATTGGAATCTTTTTCTGTCCTTGTGCCATCCGCCTTTAACCTGTCAGCTCAGCGCGTTTTCAGCCGAGGCTTGATTAGTGAAGCCCTTGCAGCCACCTTAGCCTTTCTCCAGTTGAATTCTAGATTCAACAGCCTGTATTATTCAGGTCTATTGATGTCGAGATGCTTCAGCCTGGTGCGACCTGTCATGACTCTGCCAGTCACGCGAACTCAATGTCGAATTCGGAATAGATTCACCGACTGGCTAATAAGGTATTATCCAATAATACGGACATTCTTCCGGTCAGAAGGAGGCCAATCCTCTCAATTTGAAACAGTAAATGTTCCGTACGCTGTTTGGATATCTCCTCATCGGTACTTGCCACGAGACACCCAAAGGTTAACTACACTGGAGTGATATTAACAGGGTCCTAGCTCCTCCCCAACAGGAACCTCAGCCATAGATCAGTAGATTTTACGCCACTGTTGGAATTTCAAGCGTGACTCAACAGTCATAGCTCAAAGTAGGAATAAAATTTTCGTAATGTTTCTTGCTCACCACGGGCCGTTACGCCGGCACAGGCAAGTTGCATGTACATGGCAAAACGTTGGGCCTCTGGGCTATTGCATGTAGACTTTACTCTCTACATAGTGGCGACACGGTAGATTAAGCGAACATTGCTAGTCGCCTCTCGCTGAGCATGTGAACTTTGAACCATGTGGCCCAGCGATAGTTACCTGGGTGCATAATCGGTTGGATCTCGGTCAGGGTCCAGGTCGCATATTACTCGAGAGTCTGGCCCGATGAGGAGGAGGACCGGTAACCCGTGACAGACGCGGTGCAGACTAGACTGGAAAATCCAGAAGCATGTCTTCTCGGAGCCAAAGAGAACGGGAGCTACTTGTCACCGGTAGTTAGTTGAGTGGAGCTCCTTTTAGGCTATCAGAACAGCTGACTCGGACAGCTTCTGTGGCAATTCTGAGTGGATAGATCGGATACAATCAGGCAGATTCCGATTTAGGCGATTATTGGACCAGCATTATAGTTACATTTCGGCTCTGGTGACTAGTCCAACCCAGAGTACCCGGGATGTATCTATTCTTTCTGCCATTCTGAATGGATCCCTGCTTGCTCGTCTCGCTTCTTGTCCCTAATCCCCTGTCGGGCAGCCACCGGCCTCCCTTATGGCAAGGTTCAATCCTTGTTTGGCCGCCCTACAGGTCTTGACTCCAGGACAGACATGAAGACATGCATCAATAGCATACATCATGTAATAATAGTTCTGTTGGTAGGCCTGTGCGGCGATTCCAAATATTGTCCCCTGCTCAGTCAGGCAGTAAAGCTCCAACAACAGATTATTTGGCCCCCGGTAGCCTAGAGCGGTGCATCTGCAGACAAGCTGACAAGGAAGACAGCTGTAAGCGATATGTGGCGATTCACAGGAAAAGCGACTAACCATTGAATGTTTGTGGCATTTGTTGGCACCAGTCTGGTCTCGATCCTATTGACATTGAAGCTGTTGAAATGAGTCCGCTTGATCGGCAGTGATGGACCGGTCGTTCATCCCCTCGATCCTGTCAATCGACTTCATTTCTCGGACTCGATGGCCGGTCTGTGACTTTCGTCCGGTTATTTGACAGTCCTAGCCCGTCTTGTTGGATTCGCATAGCGCGCTGACATTGCACAAGCCTCTCCTGAATCTCCTCACCTGCACATCGTCTGAGGGAAAGAATGTTTGGAAGACCCTGAATACCATGTAGACTACAGCTAATTTGACACAGCCAATCTGACCTCCAGTAAAAATAGCATTTGTTGATTTCGAGCTGAAGGTGGTCTGTTAGGTTAAGGCAGTGCTTACCACATGCATCAATATCCCGCTGCTGCGTGAATCTCTGCCAGAGCTATTGTTGTAGACCGCTAAGCTCTATTTTCTGTCACAGAGTAAATCTGTTCTCCTTAGACTATTTACACTTTTCTTTGATACCTTTTGCCGCTGCGATGGCCCTCTCAGACACGAGTCCAAATCACTTCGATCCGGAACCGGTTTCCGATGGCATGAGAAGCATCTTCACTATCCCTGTAGTTTCGAAGTCAGCCCACGAGAATTATCATACAGAATTTATGATGTGCCAGGTCGACTCATGGACGACTTGAAGGATGTGTGGTACAATCTCATTTCACCTCAGCTCATCTCACCTCAGCCCATCTCAGCGACCTCCTTGACAATCTCCACGATCGTCTCGCATGGCAAGCTTGCACATCAATGGGCCCCTCTCCCATATCACAAATATCTTCTGATCCTTCCAATCACGACTCTCCTCACACAGTGTCAGGTCAAAAGTCCAAAGCACCCGTGCAAGTATCACCCGCATCTCAGTGTAAGCCAAGTTCCTGCCGAGGCAATTCCGCGGCCCGATCGAGAATGGCTGAAAGACGGCGCGATTGTCCGAAAAGAAGGGCGATGCAGGGTCCTCGATCGCCTCGGGTAGCCATCGCTCAGGGATAAATCGGTCCGCTTGGTGGAAATTCTTCAGAGATGAGTACGCAGACAACTGGTGGACAGAGACCTTGGTCTGAGAAAATCAGTCTCGGCCTGTGATATTCTCAATGACGACCTACATTCGCGGGAACGCGGTAGCCCGAGATCCAGGTGGGCACTTCCGTCCAGCGCTGGAGTCCTCCTGGCACCGGAGGATACAGCCGAAAGGCTTCGTTCAGGCACGCCAGCATGTATGGTAATTTCGCCGTGACCTGGTTGAAAGTGATGTCCCTCTCCAATGCAAACGCCGCTCTCACCTCGCGCATCACCTTATCAAGCGCATCGGGGGTCCGAAGAAGCCAGTACGTAACGCCAGACAACAGTGCAGCCGTAGTCTCACTCCCAGCCAAAATGAGGACATTGGCATTTTCCTCCAGCTCGTCCAGACTCAACCCGCCCTTGTCCCCTTGATGCCGCAGCATCGAATCCATAAAGTCTCCACGACCAGCCGCCGAGTTACTCAACCGTTTTTGAACAGTCGCCTTCGCATGCTCGACCTGCTTGCTTCTCATCTCCATTAACGATCCCGGGTGAAACGCGAGAATCACCTTGAACACCACCGGATACCGATGCAGCGCCCGCAGGAACGGGATGGACTTCACAAACCCAAACATCGTCGCCACCCAGTGATGATACTCCGCACTATCCAGGCCCCCAAACGGCTCGCCAAAGGCCAGATCCCCGATGAGGTCGAACGTCGCCAGATTATACCACTTGCCCATATCCGCCGCCGTCCCCGACTCCGCGAACCACTTCAGTCGCTGGATCAGTTTATCGATGTACTGTGTGACGATGCGCTCCTGTGCCTGTAGGCCTTTGGCCGAGAACGCGTGCGACAGCGCCTTTCGGAAACGAGCATGGTCCACGTCGTTGGCGCTGAAGATGTCCTTGCCGTTGATGGCGGAGATTTGCACTTTCGGGAGCTGGCGGTGGCCGTGGCCGTAGATATCCTTCCAGGCTTGCGCGGTGATGAAGGTGACTTCGTCTGGGCCGGAGCGGACGACGTCGCCGTACTTTTCATGCCAGGAGCTGATGTCTAGGTCTAGTCTTCCGCGGATGGCTGAAAGGTGGTGCAGGAGTGGAATTCCGATCCGCCATTTTGGGCCGGGGATGTGGCTTAGTGGATGGAAGTAGATGGTTTTGATGGCTAATAAGAGTATGTATGAGATGTAAAGCAATGACGCAGCTGCGAGTATTACGAACATCATGACTTGTTATGACTGCAAGAATCGGTGTCCAGGATCCATCCGGAACTCCTCAGTCTTAAAGCTTCTTGTATTGAGTTGTGCAATTCCCAAGACGTCGCACATGGCAAACACGCGTCTGTCACACCGCATAGGTGTGATAATTTATTGGGCGCCATGCATACAATAACGATGACAATCCCTGTCTCCATATGATTGGTATGCAAAGCGGTGCCGTTGTACCACTAGCTTGGCCAGCAATCAGCAGACACATAAGCAGGTTGTTTCGCAATTCTGTAATGGCGTACAGTCGAGCAACGTCTCATGTCTGCTATGAGAATCCCCTAATTTCCAAGAGCTTGATACTCCTTTACTCTCGTATAAGCTTACTAGCAAACCCTTAATCACTAAACAGACATTGCTGATTAACTGCTCCTAGCCTACTCATTAGTCGCGCCAATCACCCTAACCACATATACAGTAAAAATGAGACATTGCTGAACCGTAACCCAGACATATATAGCTCGTATCACCCTCCATGTGGGCACAAGTGAGCGATCTGCAGCATGCTAGCCTGGCTGTTTCACAATCTGCAGCTTACCTGCGTCAGGATGCACACCTATTTCAGAATCTAAATGAATTTCCCGGCCTGAAACTGGGACTTATACATTGGAGAGATATTGCTTTATTGCACACGGGCGAAGTAGTCATCCAGAGCAGATATATATGGTTCCTGCGATGGGATAAGAAATGGAATCTTGGAAAGAACCAAAGATACTATCGCGCAACTTCCGAACGTTATCGAAGAGCTCTACCTACCAGAGACGCGCACTAGCACAACATGGTAGCCCAAAAATAGCTGTTTAAGCAATATGCTCCGCCGTACCCATATTTCCCTCCTCCTCCTTTGATATGTATTCCCGCTGATGGGCAAACTCTGTCCGTTATATTAGAATAGGAGACACGGAGTAGGCGAGGAGCAACTTACGATCCACCTTGGTATACTTGAACTTTCTTGCATGGACGCGGTGGTGGAAGAGCAAGTCAATCTCTCCAAACGTGCGGTCCTTCGTCTCAGGAAGGCGGAACCAACACCAAATGTTGCAGAGAAGGTTGGTGCCAGCATAGAACAGACCTGTTTTTGCTCCCCAGTTCCATGCTACGACGTCCGCGGTCAGTGATTTCTATACACTAAGGAGTGGTGCAGCTTACCGGAAGCAGCAATCATGCGCGGCGTAAGCGAGTTACTGAAAATACCCGTCAGGTTGTACACAAATCTCCCAATCACAATCGTCTTATATCTCAATCGCCCCGAAGGCGTTTCTGCAACGATGGGGTAGCAGACCGGTCCGACGGTAATCATATTGCAGAGAGTGCAAATGACCAGGAGGATGCCGATGGCCAGCTGTGCTTCCTTGTTGCCTTCTGCGTAGCCAAGGCCACCAATGATCACCATACAGACAAACATGAACGACAGGCCGCTCATGTAAATGGTTGCGCGGCCGAAGTGCGGGAAGAGAAGCCAGCAGATGACGCCGCCGATGATGTAGCATGCAGAAAGGGAGATGTTGACATCGAAGGCTTGCAGTTCGGTAAACCCAGCTGCTTCGAGAAAGACGACCGAGTAACCGAGGATGGCATTGCCGCTGAGGGTTTGAGCCGCCCAGACGACACAATTCTAGTAGAATGGTTAGCACTAAACGCCGTCGGACCCAATTGCGCAACCTACAATTTCCGTTCGCCGCAGGTTCGTCCCCTTGAAGCATTCCAGGAAACTTGCATTCTCCGTCTCCGCTTGCTCCAGCTTGGTGGTATGCTGGATGTACGCCAGCGTCGCCTCTATCTCTCGCTCTTTTTCCGGTGTGTCCTGTCGCAGGCGTCTCAAGCCCTTTCTCGCCAGGTCGACCTTGCCCCGTCGGACAGCATTCCAAGGCGATTCAGGAGCCAGGTACGCTCCTATAAACAGGGGAATGGGCCAGACCCACTGCAGAACAAACGGTAGCCGCCAGCCTAGATCTCCTTCGATGCCAGCGACGGCACGAACAACACCGGACGACAGTAGGATACCAGCACCCCAGCACATGCAGACATAGGCTGTGACGTACGGCCGTAGGACGGTGGGGACAACTTCGGAAGCATACGTAGTCGAGAGGGTCTATTAAACGAGTCAATATTATGCATGCAACAGAGGAGGGAGACGAACCTGAAAAACTCCCCACGAGACGCCGCACATCGCCTCTCCCCAGGCCAGGATCGGCAGCGAAGGCGCAAAAACCGGAATGAAGATCATAAGCGCCATCCAGGCCATGAAGAACATCATTGTTGGTCGACAGCCAAACCGGTCCTGGGCGTAAGCGTTGAGGAGTAACCCGGTCAACTGTCCTACCATGGACGAGTTTGACAATCCCGATTGCCATGCTGCTGTAATAACCTTCTTTCCTGCCTTGTCTGAGAATTCGCCGAATCGTTCGATGAATTGAGATTGGCCGTAGAAAGAGGTAATCTGTCAATCTTTGCTTTAGTTGTTACTCTCCCTCGTCAGGAGAGAAGGAAGTACTGACAATGACCAGGTCATATCCCTCCATAATCAAACTGGTAGAAAGGAACATGGCCCAGAAGACGGCCTTTTTGTATTTTGACAGAGCTTGTCTCACGGTCAGTAAGCGGTCAGCAGCATCACTTTCCTGCGCATGGCGGATGAGCTCGACCACATCGGGGTTGCCAGGGTTGAAGTTCTTCAGCTCATTCTCGGACGGGACAAGGGTCTCGTTGCCCATACTGATATTATCCGGATGGGATTGGATGATCACTGATAAGGTTAATAATTCCAGTGAGTGGAGATAAGAGTGCTAGTGTGCTCGACGATCTGGGGAAACGGAGCGTTATAAAGGCGATGGGATGTCGGTCGAATCCCCGCCGGCCGGAAGCAAGGAGAGGAGGAGGCCTCAATGGCCTCGTAAGGTTTCTCTCCACCTCCCCCGGAATCTCATGGTGCTGCAGACAGCACGCTCTGTGCCACAGACGTGATGGTTAAATAGCTACTAATGTGTTAATATTCTCGGCCAGAAACCGTGGATGGACCGACCCCGGATTGTGCGGGGAAAATTCCGGGGGTGGAGTTCCCGAAAGAACCCCTCTGATATTATGCCCTTAAAAAGAGCCGTCGAGGAGTCTTATATGGTCAAATTCCGGTAGACATAAAAACAAGGAAGCTGATCCTGTTTCCCGACAGGCAATTGCCTAAGCTCGTGGATAGCACGGGCAGGAAGTAATAATGATTGAGCGAAAAGACCGACGGCACGCATCATCAGGCCAGAATGTGGAAAAGTCCCGGCGGATGCTCAGGTGGTCAAGGCAGCCGATTTGTCAGTCTTTGTGAACGGACATAAGCGTGGGATACTGCCGGACAGGGATCTGGAGCTATTCGTTGGATGACGTTTCCGAGGCGAACAAAGATGAATACTCCAGGGTCCAACGGCTATTGTTTGATATTCTCATGCCAGTTGTTAAATGCAGGTTCCTTGCTCGGGGGAAGTATCACTGCTGCCAGCTCACCAGAGCGTATCTATACTTTCAAACCACTTGCACTGTGGAGCGGATACATAGAGTGGAAAACCTTATGACGGGATACGTCCTTGTGTTCTTGACTCTGACTGAGAGTCAGGTCAGAGTCATATGCCTCCAAGTTATGTCCTTGCCGCTGACAGCGAGTCGAAGTAATGGAAGGTGGTACACGACAACAGTTTACTGAGATCGAGCATGTCTGTATGCTATAACCTTCTTCAGCCAGGTAGTCTCCAGGCAGCCGCTAGTATATAATATTGTCAGTTCCCATGAGTTGCTTTGGCCATTTACAGGTTGGTCTATGCAGCAAGGGAGACGACTTCCTCGGGGCACCGACCCAGGCTTACCAGTGATATCTCCAGCTCCGAATCGTATAAAGTTAAGTTTATTCGCACTACTATAACCAGTTTGAGAGCATCAACATTCCATCCGACATCAGAAAGCTAACCCATCGCCCAGTCTCGACCGCCACCGTCAATCTCTATCACGAGTCTCCTATCTCTGCCTCTCACGGCAGCTTTGCGCACCAAACTTTCGAGCTTATTAATAAAACTCCATTCCCCTCGCAGCGCTGGACAGGATAGTGATCACGCACACATGTGTTAATTAAACCCGTCACCCAACTCAGCTTTCCTTCCTTGTAGGTCCACTCCCGCTCATCATGCCTATCTCCCTTGAACCAGTCATAGAATGCTTTGCCAGGCGGGCCATTGAAAAGGTAACCACTGCGGCGGTGCGTCACTGGATTGCTTATGATGAGACCAACTTTGCCCTTCCAGATGGTATAGGTCACAGTGACCGGTGAGGGTACTAGTTAGAGTCTTCGCAGCTGTGAGGCCCCCCTAATAGTTAGATATTTCCTGGTCTCAACCGAAGAACTAGGGGCGGCCGAGATCGTGTCGGAGATCGATGTGCCTACTGCCATGGACACGGTTGGTTCATGGTCGTTGGCCTGGACGATCTGGGACATCGATGTCCCAGTCGAGGAAAACCTGAGGCGGAAGCTCGACGATGGTATTAGGAAGCCAGCCGCGCTTGGTCAGGTGGCTGTTGTAGCCCGATCCGAACTTTCCAGGGGTCCCGAGGCCCCCGGTGTAGTTGGCGGACGTGAAGAACCCCTTTGGCATGCGTCGTCGACGGGGCCAATCTGAATGCCCATGCCCTCCAGATGGGCGGCCAAGTCTGCTTTGTTGATGATTGTGGTATTTCTATCGCCGAGAACCAGCATCGCCTTGCCGGAGTCGAGTACATCGAGGTTGGGAAGTGCCGCAGTGAGAGCGCTTTTGGTATACAAGGCTGCGAAAGCCACAGAGGAGAGCTTCCATTCTGTGCGTGTCAAGGCTATACGCTTGAGGACTTGGGAGGAGAATGTGTGAGGATAGAAGTTTAGAAAGAAAAGAATACGAGGAAGGACCGGCCTATATAACTATCATGGAGACGAGGAATGTGAGCTGAGGAGTGTGCCGTGCTTCAGGAACACCCCGTCTTCCCGGCAAGGTCGCAGTGAATGGACGTCTCACTCCCCTACAGAGACTGTCACCCATTGATTGAACCAAATAAGGCAGTCGTCAGTATTCGGAGTTAGATGGTCGCAACGAAGTGGTACGTCGCATCCAGGCCTACACTAGAACAGTTTAACTGACAATGGAAAGATTGTTTACGACAAACAAGCCAAAGACGCGACTATAAGCGCATGCTATTCCTATAAAAATCGAAACATGGGAAGGCAAGAGTGGGATCGGTGCCCGGATTGCACAACCAAGGTCGACAATAACGTCTCTCACTATTGTGAAAACGGAGGGACAGCATATGGGGGGAGATGAGTGGCATTACTACTGCAGGAAGCACGGGGCGACCGATAGTGGTGAAGGGAGTTTTAGGACGAGATCGCCGGGATTGTGCTTCTGTATATAAGGGCCGATTGCAGGAATAGGAGATCTTAACATGCTGGTCAGAGAATATCAAGACAAGAGCCGTATGCAATGCCTCCTGTGAGCTAATCCCGAGTGTCTCCAACGTCTTTTAGTCTGTAGCAAGCGGCTTCGCATGACCTGCGGACAGGGTGATCTGGTGGGCAGGCCTTCTTCGCTGCCGCAAATGCAGTGTCGAACGTGTCCCGTGCAGCACGCAACTTTCCCTGGCGTTCATAAAGCATTCCAAGGGTAAACATACTCCACAGCGTCGAGGGGTCATCGGCACCCAACACCTTCCGCTTCACATCGACCAGAGAAATGTTTAGTTCTGTCGCCTCGACACACTTTTCCTGCCATGCCAGCACATCCACCAGGTCCGCCATGCTAGCTATTGTCCTGGAATGTTCAGGGCCTAGTATCCTGACTCGTCCCTGATACGCCTGTCGGTTTAGGTGTTCTGCCTCGGCGAATGCACCGCGCTTCTCTAGTACCTGGGCCAAATTACTGCACGTTGATAGTGTATGGGGATGATCGGGTCCCAGGACCAATAGTGACCCCTCGAGGACCTCTTGATGGATTTCCTCGGCGGAGGAATGGTGACCGCAGCTCTGGAGCACGCCTGCCAGGTTGTTCAATGATGTGAGCGTGTTGGGATCTACAGTATCTAGGGCGTGCTTGTCCTTCCAGTGTCTTCTAGTCTCGACTGCTCGCTTGGCGATATCGACGGCAGCATCCGTGCAACCATGCTCCAGCATCAGCATCGCAAAACTGCTCATACACTGTAGCAAGTCTGTACTATCTCCTCCGATCAGTGCCACCTGTCGACCGGCGGTCTCTCTAACCAGCGATTCCGCCTGCTCTCCTCGGCCCGTCTCCAGCAGGAGTTCCCCCAAGAAACGTACACTATCCATGGTTTCAGGATGCGTGACTCCCAGCAGGTCCTCGCGAAGCGCCAGTCCATGTCGAAATAGGTCTTCTGCCTCCTCGTAGTCACGTTGAGCCTTCATCACTCGCGCCAGATTCGTCATGCTGGTAATGCTGGAACTGTGTTCTTCGCCATAGTGCGCAATATACGCCCTCACGGCTTGTTCATGCATCCGACGCGCGGCGTCATATTTCCTTTGTTTCTGTAAAAGTAACCCGAAATCATTGAGGGCCCGCAAGGTAACAAGGTCCTCGCCGCCGAGGACCTCGTCAGCTGTTTGCAGGATGTTTTCGTACAATGTCCCAGCTTCATCGTCGCGGTCCTGCTGCTTTAGGATCCCTGCCAGTGTAGTGGCTGTTGTCAATGTTTCGCGATGGCCATCCCCAAGAAGCTGTTTTTGCCCGTCCAGGGCACGCCGTGCGGTTTCTTCGGCTTGCGCCAATTGTCCTCTCTCCCAGAATGACTCTGCTGCACGGCTGAGGTCTTTCAGACTATCTTCTTGGTTGGCTGCTGCAAACATGGTGGAAGCCTTTTTCTGAGAGTCGACGTTGTGAGAATTTGATCGGCGATGGAGGGGAAGATCCTCATTTTAAAGGATTCTCCCTCGTATTCTTGGACTTGGCATCTGTCAATGTTTTCAGTCACGATCCACGAAGATCAAGACATTTCACACAAGGATTTTTACGAATATGATATTGACCATAATCTGTCTTGGATTTAGTGAAGATTGAAGGGCTTTTGGCGACGCGCGATAAATGTATGCCCGGACATCTACCCTCATCCGCATAACCGCACATATACATGTATGTATATATATAATTTACTGATTCAGTGTTGCAATCATCTCGGTTTACTTCGTACAGCAGCGCAGCGACTCGTCGTCCTCAGCACTGGCTGGATATGTATAGGGACCTATGTGTAGGCTCGCAGAATGACAATAAGGTTAGCTTCCAAGAAGTAACACAATCCAAGTTTGGACACCGTCCTCATAGTAGTCCGAACAATGCGATACAGGGAAAATAAACAGGCCCTTCAAATATTGGTCGCGAAGGGACCGGGCTTATTCTATTGACCTTCCTTGGACACTGTATTTTAGGAAGAGAAACACAAGCAGGCTCTGGGGGCTCAGAGTAAATAGGTGACACTTGATAGTGAATACAATATCCGCCTACAGGGTAGGCAGTACGCTTTTACACTCAAGCACACCTAAAGGAAATGATATCCATTAAACAGCATTCTATACACCCAGCAGTGGAGTTTTTGATATCTAGAGCTACGAGCAAATTCCCCATGTACATAACAAGAGCTTCTACACCCCAACCACTGGCCGATTCAACAGATGGACAAACTCTTCCTTGATCCCGTTGATCAGGTTCAGTGTTCGAGCACGATTATTCAACCCACTATTACAGTACCAATCATTGCCTAATAGTAGCTCCTCAATCCCAAGCCATAGCCCCGACCAGTTTACTGCGGTTCCGGCCTTGATCAGGTCTTCGAGTTCAAATAATAGCCGAGTGTTGCATCGTGCTTGCCAGTACGTGTTGGGCAGTGTCCATTGAAAGGCTTCCAGTAGATTACGTATATCGTCAATGCGCTGTTGACCACGAGGCCGAGTCTCATAGATCAAATCCACGATAGTCATCGCAAGATCGAGTGGCAGGCAGGAAACCGGTGGCTGGACCGTCTTCTGTCCTTGACCGGGATTGTCTCGTTGCGAAAGAAGATTTTGAGTGATCAAGCGCCGTATGTCAAGAATTCTCAATGGACTCCCAGGGGCATGCCACTGCGTGATCTCCTCGAGATCCTCAGCACAGAGCTCCGGAGTACATGGACGCTGCTCTGCGGGCCAGAATGGGCCATTATTATATTTGCAGAGCCCATCGTAACACAGATGGTCTAGAAAGATACCCCAGTGCTTTTTGTTTTTTCTCCAAAATCCTTCGACAGCGCGGAGGAATGCATGAAGATTTGACATGATGAGATCATGTCCAACAAAACGGTCGAGGAGCAGCCAGCAGTGGGGATGAATCGGATATCCTATGGGCTCCCCTGCCTCTCGATTCGAATCTGCTTCGAACAGATTCACCATGTGGAAGTCAGCATTCCAATGGTCCTCGTCTAGTGCCAAGTTCTGGATGGAGGCCTTCTGGGGGTTGCGCGGGACGGGGCGTGGCCAGTGGTTGATGGTAAGTCCGTTTGAGATTCCAGATAAAACCATCTGGCTTGTCTCCGGATCTTCGATAACTAGATAAGTTGACTCAATCAGTACGATCATCTCTGACAAGTCTATCGAAGTGATGGCTGACTTGCTCGAAACCAGAACGACCACAGATACGGATATTTCACAAAGTCCATCTGCTCCAACTCTTCGGCTGGGACAATCACAGATTGGTTCCAACCCTTGTCCCAGAGCTCTCCCCAGTCCTCTCGCTCTTCCCATACTTCGTCGACATCATGAAGTGGAAGATCAGCCCCACAGATCACACAGCAGAGCAACGGATCTCGCTTTTCTGGAAAGGAATTGCAACGCCTTTTGATACTCAGCATACCCATCTTGCTCTCTACAGCAGAATAACATATGGCTACAGACAAAATGCGTCGTGCAAGAATGCAACACGAAATTTGAAACATCGAGGATGATGTCATGTTTAGCCATTGAATGCCATACCAATGGATATGAAGCTCATCCATAATCTGGCTACCAACCTGATACCGCTGCAATAGTTAAGCTAGGGAAAATACTAACTTAGCTTAACTTAAAAGCATCCAGTTCCTTGTCCAGGCACCCACAATGGAGAGTTTATATCAACACAGTGTATTAGAAAGATAAACTGAAGCCCATCCTCTCTCTCTCCTGTCCCCAAGCTAGATAGTTAGTCCCACCATATCCATCCTCGTCATTCCTGCATATAGCAGTCTACAGGTTCTGGTCCTGTTTCGTGTTTCAATCGCTACTGTCGGCGCACCTAGAATCCCAGCCCACTGGCAAACCGCCTACACGGACATGCTGCGGTATCGCCACGGGGACCTGCATCTTGATGCCATTTGGTGGGCGAGAAGCTCGTATTATGTTTCGGATCTGGACATGAAGCGTAACTGATCTGGTGCCCGTGCTTGCTCCTAGTCAGCAGGATTTGTCAGGCTTGCCGCCCAATAACGTCCCAGACACTGTAGTCGCTAGGAGTCAGACTATCGACTGACCGGCCACCCTTGATGATTGCACCTCTCACGTTCTGGTCCACGATTAGGGTGCTCATCCGCCACAGGCTACTGTAGTAATGGAAGCCGGCAAAGGAAGGAGATATGAGCTAGCTGGCGTTGCTGGCCCTGCATGTGCCAGTTGTACTTGAGATAGCCAATATGTGCTCACATCGGCTTTCCCTGGCTGCCTTTTGCGCCGACCACCAAGTCCGACGTCTCTCAACAGCATGACGGATGATTCAGCCCCGCCATACGCCAGGGACGAACATTGCATAAACAACCTGCCGTTGTCTTAATAGTCCAACTTTGTCGCAATGGTGGTATAGAGGACAATCGTAGACAATTAGGGCCGGCGAGGATTTGGTGGCTTCCCTTCAAGACATTGGTTGGAGGGACAAAGACACAAATGGCCCCTCTTCTGAGCCGGCTGCTTAGATGCGAGACATATTAGCTAGGGTTATACAAAAACAATGAAAGACAAAGCCCGTGGGGCACCATAATCATCTATTCTGCATGAAGGGAATCCTAACCATCATTTCTTCGACACAGTGAAGGACGTAGTGAAGCATGTAATCGGCCTTATAGGACTAAACATTGCGTAGAATAATGTAAGCATGTCCACGGGTCATCCATGTTCCAATTGTACAGGTCATAAGGGGTCACTCTTGCTAAAGTGTACTTCTACCAATCATCCGACACGATGCAATGCAATTGCCCCCTGCAAACGCAGCACAATAAAATCGCCTGTGTACTTTGTGTTGAAATATGCTGCAGCGCGACTAGCTGAAGCCTTTCTGGCTAGCCGTCTTACCAGCAAAGAAAGAGTATCGCATTGGGGCAATGTTTTGATGTCCCTGGAAGCTGGTGGCAGGTGGATAGTTAGAATATGAGCTGGACGCCTGATCGTACAGTCCGTAGCAAATAAACAGGGCATTGTCTAATGTATTCTATGTTACTATCATCGACATCGTAATAAAGAAGCAACTGTTGATGAAGTTGGCGCGTCTACTACCATAGCTTTCTAGCAGGGTGATATTCACTTCTCAGTATTAATATTCGATATTCACTTCTCATTGTTCATGTCCACTGCTATATCACCACAAGCACAACACATCAATAGTCTATATCTGGGTTGGATGTTTCCTTCTGCTTCATCCACGTCCTATCTATTTTGAGATATCCCTACATAATATCAAGACACTCTAGACGAAAGCACAATGGCTGCACAGAGACCCGACCCGGCTGATCCAGGAACTACCGTATGTTGCCAATCCCGACTAGAACTTGATTTCTGATAACTGATCAATATTAGTACATGGACGTCCTCGCAATCGCTTCCGAGATACGCCGGCTGCACTTGCACAGTAACGAAGGCGAGGTCAATGGAGTCTGGAACTCCGTCTTAAACTGGGTTTTTGACCCAGTTAATGGGTTCATCACCAAGCCCCAGGCAATGCACACTGGTACCGGAGGGGCCAGGGACTTTTCCGACTTTCATACCCTCGCAGTGGCAGGAAGAACACGCCATTCCTTCCTCATCACGCAGTGCAAGTCTCCAGATGGCGAAGGCAAGAAATCGGTTTGGGCAGACGGGGAAGCCCAGCTCCTGAGATACCTCAGGATGGAACATTCAAACCGCCGCGGCCCTCAGCGCCCCGCCTATGGAATCCTCGCCATTGGAAGAAGGGTGCGATTCTTCCAGTATTATCGAGCCATAGACGATATCAGGGGTTGGCGCCCGAGCCGCCCAATTCCCGACCGCAGAGGTGATAGAGATTTCTATCATCTTGAGCGAGAGGCTACTCAGGTTCAGATGGCCCTAAGAGACATACTTAACCACCACTGACGGCTTCGTGGATAGCGTGTCCAAGCGTGGAAATAACAATCATACATATCTGTTCTTTTCGGTATAAAGGGCCCTGTTAATAATCCAAGCGTAGGTTCTAAGAGATTTGAACGTTCAAGAAGCACCGCTCAGGTCTTCAGAAGGTTCCTGACGTAGCCCTTGCAAGTATCATAAAGCCCACCAAGTACCCGAGGCCCAGGCACCACAGATGATAGTGTCAATAATGATTCGTTGCTTCAGGAAATGAGTCTACACATCACAGTCCGTTCCAAGCCAACTGTAGGAATTAGTTGCCGGCACACACCGAGTAGTCAGGTCGGGCGAGCTACCCAGAGGACCGTTGTTGCGGCCGGGCATTTCCTTTCGGGGAAGGCTCTGGAGTCTACATAGCCCCCACTCCGAGATCCACTCGACGGCATGAACACCGCTACCGTTGTTCTTGAAGTCAGAGATGACTATTAAGCCTACCCACGCTGCATGCTGTTCTCAATGACTGATGGCTATTATTATATAGAATCAAGAGTGCTTACCTATCTTCCTTCCCTCCCAAAAAGGTAAATCAGCAGCTCAATGGACTGGGCTCAGTCAGGGCTCCCTGCCCCGTCAACGGAGAGAGCGTCTCACATCAAAAGGTCCCTGAAGAAAACGATGAAAAATGAAGGATAATCTGGGATACCTGAATCCTCAGACACAAGGTACCAATTCCTTCATCCTCATCACTGGGAATCATTACATCTGACCTCATTTAGGATACGCTGTAAATGGCACCGCAGTCCCAGATGTGGACTTTGACATATCGGTCCAAGTGCTCCTGATGCAATTACCGTCTGAGGCAGGTATACATAACGCATGATTATTGCGGCATTATGTCCATGCTTGGTGGATGACAGAGGAAAGAAGGTGCCATGGCAAGAAATGGCCAAAAAGCTAAGCCTTTTTAGAGGAATCATGGCCTGTTTTCCAATGCTTGACTGATAAGGGCCTCGACACCTGAGGAGTGACTCAGAGATCCCCTGTACCCCCACGTGACATCAGCACCAGTCCCATTGTTATCATCACTACAATTCCCTGGGAAAGTCAATCTTGGCTGGAATTTACTATGATGTCTACGAGCAAGGCCGCTCATCTCTGCTTTGCCATCTTTCTCATAACGGGTTGGACCGCATCATCCCGGGTCTTTGTGGTCATTCCGGGAATCCCCCGAACCCACGATGCCTTCATGTCTACAAGCAGACCAAACCTGGGGACCGACTTTGCCGGCGCCTTGTCATGGAGGGTTTGACTTCACCATCTACTTTGAACAAATCTGGCTCAGTCTTGTTTTTGGTTTCCAGCGGTCCTCGGCTCTGGCAGCTCTGCCAAGCCCCAGTGGTGATCCGCAAATCGAGGAGCCAACTCATCAAATTGGTAATACATCATTTTCCAGCATTCATATTGGAGTAAGCTGACTCGGTCTTTTCTTTGACTCTATTAGGGCACTATCAGCCTCCTGATCGTTCTTAAATTGGCACTGCTTCCCCTGTGGTCCTTGAGGACATCGCTCCAGACATCTGCTTCCATCCCAGCTGCTGTCTTCTCGTTAGTTGCTGCACTTGTGCTTGCTCTTCTCTCCTATTATGAACACCAGCGATCTGTCAGGCCGTCCACGTTGCTTAGCATCCATCTTTTCTTTTCAGTCCTCTTTGATGCCGTCCAAGCTCAATCATTATGGCTTCGCAACACCAATGCCCCAATTGCAACTACATTCACTGCGGCGTTGGCAGTTAAATTGATCATCATGGTCCTGGAAGGACGAGAGAAATGAGCAGGTTCACAAGTACCAGGCGTCAAGCCGTCCCCTGAAACCACCAGCAGCATATATAATCGCACAGTTTTCTGGTGGTTGAACCGTCTGTTTCTCGCTGGTTACAAGAGTACCCTGCGCTTGAACGACTTGTATCCGTTTGAATCGGATATGACCTCAGAAAAGCTAGGCGCTGCCATAGCGAATGTCTGGATGGAAAGTAAGGAAGCGAATTGAGTGCTACAGCAGCATACTAACATTGACCAGCCAAGCAAACCAGGCCGTATGCTCTACCTTTGACAACTGCAGTCGCACTGAAATGGCCCCTGCTCTCCCCAGTGGCGCCTCGTATTGCGCTTATTGGCTTCAAATACTGCCAGCCACTGTTGCTGGCGAGCGTGGTCAATCATGTGCAGCTCCCAGATACACACCGTGACAGAAATGCCGGCTATGGTCTGATCGGAGCGACAGCCATCGTCTACATTGGTATTGCAGTAAGTCTGCAAACTAGTACGAGAGCCGAAATTGATGGTGCTGACCATCTCATTAGATGAGCACTGGACTGTACAATCTCAAAGTATACCGGCCCACCGTCATGATACGCGGTTCGCTTGTGAGCATCGTCTACCGCAAAACCTTGAGACTACATCTAAATGAAGCCAAATCTTCCGCCGCGTTAACTCTGGCTAGTTCGGATGTAGATCGGATTGGCCTGACAGTTGAAAGTGGCCATGAGATCTGGGCCAGTAGCATTGAAACCATATTAGCCCTCGTGCTGCTGCAACGGCAATTAGGCTGGGCCAGTATTGCCCCTGTATTACTCGCTTTGCGTATGTCTGGAATTCATTCGAGGTCCCAAGTATTGATTACTGACCAGCTCAATTCAGTGGCCACTGCAGCAAATACGCGAATCGCAAAGTATGTCCCACGGCGCCAACGGGAATGGGGCGCTGCGATCCAGAAGCGGGTAACCCTCACATCATCAGTCCTCAGGAATATGAAAAGCGTCAGGATGATGGGCCTGCAGGAGACGATTGCTCGGACAATCCAAAGGGCCAGGGTCTACGAGCTGGATCTGTCGAAGCGCTACCGGAGTTTCTTTGCGTACATGGCCATTATCTGTTGGTTTACCTTCTGTGATCAAGGGCATTTGAACTAATCCCGTACCTCTAGCAACCATACCTTTGCAATTTTCTGCACCGTTCGCTTTTGTCATCTATATATATGGCGTCAAATCACGCCATGGACATGACTCTGTTGCAGCACAGATCTTCGCCTCAATTTCATTGACTCAGCTGCTCGCTACTCCATTGCAAAATGTCTTATCTTCCATCCCGTCATTTGCGGGGTCCCTTGGTTCCTTCACTCGTATCCAGGCCTACCTTAGGCTTGACGATCGTGTTGATGGCAGGGATACCAGCTTTGCAGGTATCCGAGAAAGCGCGAAGGAGCCAATTGTGCACGGAAACCAGCTTGAATTGGGAAACTCGGGAGCGTCAGGAGCAAGCACTACTATGGGAAAACTTGCAATTTCAGTGCGAGAGGCGGATATTTCCTACTCCGCGGACTCGCATCCAATCCTCCAAAAACACAACTTTGAAATTCGGAAAGGTCTCTTAAACGTAGTCGTCGGCCCTGTGGGCTGTGGAAAGACCACGCTGCTCAACGCCCTCCTCGGCGAGATTACGACCTCCAATGGCAAAGTGGTCGTAGATGGTTCTCCAATTGCCTATTGCCAGCAAACGCCTTGGCTCATTAATGCCTCCATCAAGGAGAACATCCTGAATCAATCTCCGTACAATGAGACCTGGTATAAGAGGGTGATTTCGTCCTGCGGACTAAACGCAGACATTGAACGACTACCTGATGGTGATGATACTATTGTTGGAAGCCGGGGAACCATCCTAAGCGGTGGACAGAAGCAGCGGCTGGCCCTCGCCCGGGCAGTCTACGCTCGAGCACCAATAGTTGTTCTGGACGATACCTTGAGTGCTCTCGATGCGCGAACTGAGAAGCTGGTTTTTGATCGCACACTGTCCAAAACGGGACTCTTTCAGCAGCTTGGATCGACGGTCATCCTGGTCACTCACTCAGTGCAGCATCTTCGGTCTGCGGATAATATCATTGCATTGGATTCAAAAGGACGTATCGAGCAACATGGCTCATTCAGAGAGCTTAGTGGTCGAGAGGCACCAGTTGGACGCCTGTTGACTGAGTGTCCTCCTGACAAGAGCAGTGCGGAAAATAACAGCCCGGAATCAGCTTCTGGTTCAGCTTCTTCAAGCCAAGCTCAGAGGGAAGCAAATGTGTCATTGCCGCATGCTGCTGCTGCCCCGGGCCCAAAAAGGAAGACCATATCCGATTCAGCTGTCTTGATGTATTACCTGAAGTCCATTGGATGGTATCGGGCGTCGATATTCCTCCTTACAAGCCTGGCGTATGTGCTCTGCATCAGCTTCACCCAGATCTGGGTCCAGTGGTGGACGGAATCTAAGAATTCCAATGATGGATCCTTCTTAGGGATCTACTTTGCTCTGGCAGTTGGTGCCATTGCGAACTATAGTTCGTCCATCTGGTGCATGATGATCTCTATTGTGCCCATTTCGGCAGCGAAACTGCACTGGAAGCTCCTTGATTCCGTTCTGCATGCCCCCATGTCATTCTTCTCGTCTGTAGACTCGGGGATTACCCTCAACCGGTTCAGTCAGGACATGTCGCTGATCAACAGTCGCCTGCCTGTGTCTACAATGCAGGCAACGCCGATGGCTTTCCAAGCGCTAGCACAGATCGCCCTTATAGCCGTTGGGTCTACCTACCTGGCCATTGCGATTCCCTTCTGTCTCGGTACGACCTGGGCTCTACAACGATTCTATCTCCGCACGTCGAGACAGCTTCGCTTACTCGACTTGGAATTGAAATCTCCATTGTTCTCAAGCATTTCCGAGACCTTGGAAGGTCTCCCGACGATTCGTGCCTTGGGCTGGGAGGAGAAATTCAAACGACGTAATCAGGATCGGTTGGACGCCTCGCAGCGTCCAGTCTACCTCCTCTACTGTATCCAGCGGTGGCTGAATTTTGTCCTTGATCTCATAGTGGCAGCACTGGCTATCCTGCTAGTCAGTCTGGCGACTCAGTTGCCGAGCAGCACGAGCGGGGGGCGTCTGGGTGTTGCGATGCTCAACATCCTCGGCTTCAGCCAGAGTTTGTCCCAGTTCATCTTCTTCTACACCGACTTGGAGACGTCATTACAAGCCGTTTCCCGGGTGAAGGAGTTTGTGGAAACGACCGTCTCGGAAGAAGCGAGCCCCAGGTCTCTGACTGCACCGCCAGAAAACTGGCCTGCTCGGGGGTGCGGTGGAGTTTCGTGATGTCACAGCTTCGTATGCTACTGGCACGGACAATGCTGTTCTCAAGGGTGTCTCCCTAGCCATCCAGCCTGGACAAAAGGTCGGAATATGTGGCCGGACAGGCAGCGGCAAGTCCTCCTTGCTGTCTGCCTTGTTCTGCATGATTGAACTCCAGAGTGGCAGCATTACTATTGACGGAATTGACCTCAGCATCATATCCCGAAAAGAGGTGCGTTCACGGTTAATTGCAATCCCCCAGGATCCCTTCTTGCTCCCCGGGACAGCCCGTTTCAATGCGTCGCCCGACGAAACAGTCGCAGACAACCGAATCATCAAAGCCCTCGAGAAAGTCGGGCTGTGGGAGCACGTCCAGAAGCGCGGTGGCCTTGACCCCGATATTGATATTCTGGCTCTGTCGCATGGCCAGCAGCAGCTCTTTTGTCTTGCGAGGGCAATGCTGAGGCCCAGCAATATTCTCGTACTGGACGAGGCGACTAGTAATGTTGACTGGGGAACCAATGAGGTTATGCAACGGGTTATTCGGGGGGAGTTTGCGAATAAGACGATTATCACTGTCGCGCATCGCTTGAGAACTATTCTGGATAGTGATTTGGTGGTGGTCCTCGGCGAGGGGCGTATTCTTGAGGCAGGTCATCCGGGGGAACTGCTTGCGAGTCGAAGCCAATTCTGGGAATTGTGTAGTGCTCAAGGCATCACCACCATCGATAGCATCTGATGTATGGAGCTATTGAGATGATAATCCATCTGTCTGATACATTTATCTCTTTCCAACCGTCGCATTATACTAAGACTTTCTGTACCCAGCACAAACCGATGTCTGAGAAACTTTATGCTATAATTCCAAGACGTCTCTTAATTATATGCAGGAATGAACTCTGCCCAGCGATAAGAATGGTGGCATCCTTCTTGTGGATATATCGATCCTCCCCAAGACGTCACGAGTGGAGATCACGGTGTACATGTGCAAAGGAGAATCTATCTTCAAATTCCCCTCTCAAAGTTATAAAAACAGTTTATAATAACAAGAGCTCGCATACCTTCTACAGCGCAGAGCGGGGACCAGATATAATCCTGTCCCTGCCGGTTTCGATCATTATAGGTTCAATGAAGCGCGGAATGTATATCCGAAGCATTACGACCAAACTATGGTGACAGTGACTCCGTAGAAATGCATGAGTTTAGGGAATGTGAGAACGACTTTTTTTCTAGAGAGGCATAAGAGGAGCATTCCACGCAGGCAAGGGATGATCTGCGATCTGGGACCAGAATTCGGGGAACAGGTACAAACCCCGAAGCATGACGCATTAGAGGTGGTGGAGACAGACATGTAATCGACGCATCATCACCATATTCCCCGTATGGAGGACAACAGCCCAGTTATCATGTCTCTCTTAGCCAGTTTAGTTTAACAACATTAGATAAACTGTTACCTCCTCTATTTCTACCTTTCAGAAACATGTCCCCATAATGAACTAATGAACGACTTGCATTAGTTTATCAACGGGGAATGTACGGGATTAGCCGGCAAACTCAACCAGCATTCCGCTGATCCGGATAGCTGACTCGGCTTCAGTGTTCGCGCCATGTAATCTGACAATGAATTTGCAATAGCACAGTAATTCTACAGGGATGACCGTGTACATGTCTTGGAGTCAGCTTGTATCTCTACCGTCAGAAAGGCCAAGCTATCTGCCTATCCGAAGCCTTTCAGAGATCGGCCTATCGGCGTCGACTCGGCGATTCATGTTCTGCGCTTTCGCGCAAACCAGCAAGTATCGATAGGTCCATGACGACGCTGGGTCTACATTACCATCACAGCACGCAGCTCAGTCGGCATCAGCAGTATGTGCTGTCCACCATCGAGCGTGTATGCTCGTGCGTGTCTGTGGTTGCCTCGGGTGTGGTCATTGCAACCTTTGTCAGCTCTACGCAATTTCGCAAACCGATCAATCGTTTGATCTTCTATGCCTCGTGGGGCAACCTCTTGTCAAATGCTGCGACCCTCGTCGCCGATTCCAGTCTGCAGGATGATTCCCGAGACGCGCTGTGCCAGTTCCAGGGGTTCATGATTCAGTGGTCAGTCAATGCCCGTGGTATGGCAGTTTTGTTCACTGATACTGGTCTGTAAGGTTCTTGCCTGCCGACTCCCTGTGGGCGCTCGCCATGGCTTACAATGTGTACCTGGCGTTCTTCAAGCATTACGATACCAGGCGTCTAGGGATGCTCGAGTGGAAGTATGTGCTCTTCTGTTATGGAGTGCCGTTTATTCCTGCGTTTGTGTATCTTTTTCTCAGCTCTGAGTCGAGGGGCAAGGTGTACGGAGATTCTGTGGTAAGTCCCGTTGCAGTAGTGCTTGAGTGTCGATATTTATCATGATCAGTTATGGTGCTGGGTCTCATTGCGGTGGGATTTTCTCCAGATCGCCGTATTCTATGCACCAGTCTGGTTCATTGTCTTGCTCATCCTCGCCATCTACATCCGCGTTGGCGGGACCATCTGGCGACAACGACGCGAACTGAGGAAGACCGTCAGGCCGGCCTTCGAACATGCCACAGACACCACCGTGCTGGGAGACGTTGATCTCCATGGAACAGCCCAATCAGTGCCACTTGGTAGCCTTCAGCGGCACTCAAACCGAGAGCGGAGTCCTGCTTCTACTGCTGCTTCATCCCAACGAATCATTTCTCGCGAGGTCTGGTCTACTCAGAATTATGACTGTCCCCAAAATGCTCCTCCTAGTACTGCAGTCTCTCTTTCCTCCAATATCTCTCCGGCAACTTCGACTACCCTCAGCCACTACAACTACGACCTAGGTCAGTCCGGCGCCTACACTAGCCGGGCGTCGGAAGCGTACTACAAATATGCCGTTCTCTTCTTTGCGGCGTTGATTATCACATGGGTACATGCTTCCCTCTCATTCTCTACAATCTATTGACAGGATGTAGGTCCCTTCCTCCGCCAACCGGGTTTATGCGCTTGCCACCTCGAATCACTATGTCTTCGGCTTGAGCTGCGCCTCGAGCTTTGCTCTACCATTGCAGGGATTCTGGAATAGTCTTATCTACATTACTGTGTCTTGGCGGGCCATTGTGACCTGGTTTCGACAGGTTGGTGCTCGGGCGCGACGCACCTCGAGTGCCACGATTCGACCTTTCAAATATCCCTTGCGTCGTTTGAGTCGGGGTTGACTATGGCTTGCGAACATTGTCGATCTGAGAAGACTGGAACTCAGCAATGAGACTATGCTTGCAGTCACATTGTTGTGTATGTCTGGCATGGTCTCAAGATGCGAACTGACCGCCGGATCACTGTTTCACATACAAAAGACAAAAGCATTGTTAAAGTACAGGTAGCTATAGGCATAAGGTACGTACTTGTAAAACACAGTCTCTTATATTAGTAGTTGAGATGATTACGTGTACTTTACCACGGACTTCACCTGACAGTACTCGATTAGCCCATTATTCCATACTCGACCCCTATTCCACTCTCCTTATGACCCGAGAAGGGAACACGAGAATCTCGACGCGAAGGGCCGTTGACGAAGATCTGTTCCAACGTCCAGACTGTCCGCGATCCGCTGAGTTGTCTCTGTATCCTGACCCCATACGCTTGCGCTCAATCCGGTTGAAGTTGAGTTGGCAGCGGCAATCACCGCATCGATATCAGAGAAAGGCATACAGGGGATGATCGGTCCTGGAAAGACGTGTCATAGCCAAGCCTCCTCATATGTCAGTGGTCCAACTCACCAAATTGTTCCGCAGTGACGAGCGCAAAATCAGCCCGAGGGTTATCTACTATCATCGGTCAAATAGAGAACCCCGACTCAAGAGGTTGCCGCGCCAGATCGTCCTTTGCTGTAGGACGTTCATCCAACGAAAAAGTGCAACGTTCTCGTTGACAACTTTCACTCAGCTCTCAGTTTCTGGTACTGCATCTTGTTCTGAATCGGGCCCATGATGGTGGCACCATCGACTGAAGAGCATCCGACACTGACCTGGGAGCGGGTAAAGTGTACCAGAGAGCGCATGAAGCGCTCATAGATGGATTCATTGATATAGACACGTTTGACCGCAATACATGATTGACCGGAATTCCACCACGCGCCCATGGCGACCGGCCGAGCCACTTTTTCAATGTCCACATCCAGCAAGATGATGGCAGCATCGTTTCCTCCCCTGGACTGGTCAGCCTGAATTGACGGAACGTGCAGGGTCAGCGGGTACAAACAGCTCTAATGCCACCCTCTTGAGCGTCTTAGCAGCAGCGTGCAAGATCTTCTTGCCGGTGGCTGTCGAACCCGTGAAGGAGATATGGGCAATGCCAGGGTGATCGACATCCGCCAGCACTTGCACAACGCCAGGAGGAAAGAGGGACTGCGCCAGTTCTACACACTTTAGAGTCGAGTATGGTGTGGAGGGACTGCGACACTTAGCTAAGCCCTGTCAACACAGGCGAAATTCATACGCAGGCTTCACGATCACACAATTCCGACAGCCAGCGCTGCGGCATTTTCGCCAAATGCTGTTTTGGCCAGCTTTTTTACATTACGCGCGCGCGGCCATGCTGGAGGCGAGGCCGCTACAGGCTAATCTCCGGCAGCGGCTGCATTTGCTGAATTCTGTTTCTTCGGACTAGAAACTAGGTACCGTCCGCTCTGATCTGCGTTCGCCAATAGATAGGAAACAGAAACATTAAAAGTGATGACAAGGATTTTCAGTGCTGGGTGTATCGGTATTCTCGGCTAGACAGGCTATGCAGGGTACCGTTAATGCTATTAAACGGAAATATCCTTAACTTACTATAGATGTATAGAGATTGAAATTGGTTGTCTACCTCTGCCCTCTCTACGAAGCTGTACATCTCTTTATAAAATCAATCATGGCCTGCCTGCCTGCCGCTTTGATCGGTATCTCTGTGTGCATGGCCCCAGAGACATCCAGTCTGTCCACCTTCAGTCCTAGTCTCTTGCCCTCTTGCTCCAGCTCCGCAGCCGCATATGCCGGGATGACTTCGTCCTTCTCAGCGGAAAGCAGCAGAATCGGTGGAACCGTATGCTCATGCTCCTTCAGATCACGATCTTGATCCCGCCACCGCGCCATCCGCTCCAGGGCTACCGCACTGCTCCAATTGTTCCAGAGAAACGGCCACAGGTACCGATACGGCAGCCACTTTTGCGGATACAGACTGATCAGCATGTCCTTGGTGCTGGACATTGGTGCTTCAAGAATCATCCCCGCGATAGGAACCGCCTGGGGACCGCCTGTTGACAGCCGGGCCAGGTACGTCGCCGCCGCAGAGCTCGCAATCGCCGTACCCAGACTATGACCCCAGAGCACCATCCGCACATCCCTGTCAGGTGAGCCGTACGTCTCCGCTACCCATTGCAGGAAAGCAACCGCGTCGAGCTCGATCCCTATCTGGCTGGCCCGGCCAGAGGACTTCCAGTACCCGCGATACGACAGGGCGACGACCACATAGTCCACCTCCCCGCCTGGCGAGTGGATAGCCCGCAGGAACTGCGACAACAGCGGCAAACGCATGGGGGTCGAGCCGCCGTTTCCCTGGAAGTAGCAGATCACCACTACCTTTTTCCGTGCCGGCTCATGCGCCTGCGCCTGGGCATACGGCTTCTGGTCCACGCTGCGAGCGGGAGCTGGCATCCGCCCTTCGCATACAGCCAACTTCGTCCCATCCAGACTTCGAATGCCCTTTTCTTCCCAGTGGACGGGCTTGGATTCGCCTGCGTAGTCGGATATCTGCTCCGAGCGGGCGAACGGGGGGAGCCATGAGATATACAAAAGCTTGTCCTGCATGACGACGATCCAGAAGCATTTCCATGTCCATAGACCCAGTAGTAGAGTAATGAAGATTACGGGCGGTATCAGGACGGGTGGAATGGCGGATGTAAATAAACCACGCCTCTGTGATGGGGTTACATGCTGTGGTCTTTTGCGTGATGTGTTGCGGATGGAGTAAAGTGACCGAGCGCCCAGGGGATAGTACGAGGGTCTGACTGTTCTGATGGGACTAATCCCCGGCAGGCTGCGCTGAACGCGCCTAAGAGCCCATTTTGCCAGCATCAATTGTAGCTTCCAACATTTGGAAATGATGAGGCAATCCGGGCGCGTCGGTGATGATGATGATGAAAAGTCATGTGATTGATGACTCATTGCTTACTCATCCCAATTGGATTTCCGGATCAATGCCTTGCCTTTAAGGCATGAAGACTGAGATTCGCATCGATACATCCTAATACCATACTAAAGACGCTTTGATCAATAATTCATGAAAGCCTTGAATAGTCAGATGCTTCAGGGAGCATTTGCAGCCAGACGTTTCCTTTGCTTGAGAGTCTTGTATGAAAACCATGACCCTACAGCCGTTGCGATGAAGCCGAGAATACCAACGACAATACCGACAATCTCTCCCACTTTCAGTTTGCTTCCATCACCTTGACCAGACTTGTCTCCTTCTCCAGTACCCAAGTAAGCAGTCGGTGACGTTGTCGTTGTCGACAGGGTTGCCGATGGCACCGACTGCCTTGTAGACTCGGTCGTCCGATCCGACGCCTTCTCACTTGTTGATGAAGCAGTAGTCGCCTGAGATGTCGAGACTAAAGCATCCACAACGGTCAACCTCGTCCTTACAGTAGTCCAAGGACTGCCGGCCGCAGACGTCGTCCCCCAGACGCCAGCACCGTCTGCACGACAGTCACCGTTACGGTCGCAGGGGCGATCGGCGTACCTGATGAAGTCGTCCCGGTCGTCTGCGTGGTGGGTGTCGCCCTCGTATACCCATTACTCGTACAATAATCGTCGTATATGCTGACGGCGCTGGAAATATCGATGGCATTTGAGCCACACTTGTCACTCACGCATTTGCGGAGGAACGAGTCGGCGGTTTGCTGGAGATCCGAGCGACAGATGCATTCGTTCTCGATGGGATCAACGTCGCAGCCGATCCGGTCTGCGAGGAAATCGGCACCGCCTTGCGAGGCGGCGCCCCAATAGAAGCAGCGCTTCGCGCAGGGTCGTTGCGACGCGTAGGCTGTGGATTCGGTGAGGGTAGCTGTTGTTCCTTCTGCCGCGTTGATGAAAAGGGAGCAGGAGAGGAGAATTAGGATGCTTGTCCTGGGAGTATTGTAGGGGCCTTTTGCAGTCATTATCGCGATTGACCGGCGCTGCTGGCCGCTTAGAAGGAGCCCCTGGACCTGAAGACCTGTCCCGTTTCAGTGAGTCGCCGCTCATAATAAATACTGCGCGGCTGATCCCATGGCCCCGCGTGGTCCGCTCCTGCATATTTTAGGATACCCCTGGCCTGGGAATGGCGTTGCAATGGTTGGCTAACCTTGACCATGAAGGTGCTGATATCAGGGCCTGAGCGGAGCAAGACTGTCTCTGATAAGTCGAAATACAGAGTCATCTACTGCTTGCCAGGTTCAAGTCTTGGCAGCTCGTATTCTCCCTTGGCCAAGAACCATGATGATACGTAGGGAGATGACTTCGACTAGCCTGATAGGTGTGACCTTTGCTTTTTCCCAGGTAGAAATGGCCAACAGCCTCGTTGGAGTTGAGGTTAAATTTAGCGGGAGCTGACCCATATCGGCGGATGAAGGCCAAACCTTCATCTGATATGGTTCAATATCATTGCAAGCTGCCTTGAAATAAGATCCATCATTATTAACTCTTCTTTCACCATATATGTGATAAATCATACCCCGCGTCCCCGCCATAGATCGTCTGTGGATCCCATTGACATCGTCGGCAGTCGGAGTCGGGATGGGGGCGGGGGATCTCCACCCTCCATCAATATCTGGGGTTTAAGTATTGGGCGATTTCAGGAAAGAAAATGAATCTTATTATCCTAGTTACAGCCAGGCCAAAATGACAAGCAATCAACCCCGACCCCGCAAACAAGGTATCGTCTCCTACGGCTCCTACAAGACAGGAGGATGGAAGCTCAAGGACATCACTCTTCGTCCCCTGAAAGAAAAAGAACTCCTAGTTGAGATCGTCGCGTCGGGAATATGCCAGACAGACCTGCATTTCGCAGGCGCAGAGAGCGGATTCGGCGTGCACTATCCGCGGATCATGGGTCATGAAGGTATACCACCTCTCCTGACGCAGGCACACCAGCTAAGTGAACTACAGGCGCCGGATACGTGCGAGAAGTTGGCTCCGGGGTGCAGGTCGCCCAAGTCGGCGACCCAGTCATCCTCTCCTTCTCCGCGTGCAAGGCCTGCGAGCCATGCGAGACAGGCCACCCGGCCCATTGTGTCAACTTCAACCCGATAAACTTCGAGATAGAGCCTGATAACCTTGTCTTCAGCGAGGAGGCATCCACCGCGACGGAACCGAGCATCTACGGACAATTCTTTGGCCAGTCGAGTTTCGCGAGTTACTCGATCGTCCGCGAAGATTCAGTAGTCAATGTTCGCGGGGTGGTCGCCACCAAGTCCGAGCTGCAGTTGCTGTCGCCTCTGGGCTGTGGAATCCAGACTGGGAGCGGGGCGATTCTGAATGCAGCAAAGGCGACCCCGAAGGACCGGGTGGCTGTCTTGGGGCTCGGAGGTGTCGGATTAAGTGCGGTTATGGGTGCGAAGATCGCTGGCTGTGCGCAGATCATCGGTGTAGAGAGACATGCTTCTCGTCTGGAGCTGGCGAAGGAACTAGGTGCTACGCATGTCGTGCAGGTTGATACGACGGCGGATTCGCAGAGTGTATCGGATGCTGTTTTGGCGGCGACGAACAACCTGGGAGTTAACATCGTGCTGGACACGACTGGTGTGCCGGCGCTGATTGCCCAAGGTGTCAGAATGGCTTCATTCAAAGGAAAGGTTCTGCAGGTTGGAACAGCGCCGGAGACGGGGACGTTGACCATTCCGATTCATGAGTTCATGGTAGCAGGGAAGCAGTATATGGGTGTGGTGGAGGGAGATGTAAACCCAAAGGAGTATGTGCCTAAGATGGTCAAATGGGTACGAGAAGGAAGCCTGCCTCTGCAGAAGATTGTCAAATTCTACAAGGCGGAGGACTTTGAGCAGGCGATCCGTGATATGCAGTCCGGCGAGACGATCAAGCCAGTCATTGTGTGGTAGCAATCTTATACAGGGTGATAATCTCTCTATATAGAGATAAAATAGCTACGTAGCCTACGTACCATACAAGAACACTTGAAAGCTCCTCAAGGAGCTCTGGTCAAGACCTTGTAGATTAGTAGCTTTCGGCACTTGAGCTCGGCATGTACAGTACTGGGATCCTCCGCCGTGGCAGACATCAATTCGTAAGACTTGCTAATGACTTGGCTTGATGCTCGATCATCCGTGCCCCGCAGACGGAAGCATTCCGTCAAATCAAGCATTCTTGGTAATCTAACCATATCAGCAGTTTGCTGTGTTTGAGCCTATAGCAAAGAAGTACAATTGACACTTCTCATTGGATAACTTCTATTTGCGCCGTTTGTTGTGTTTGGAAATGTGCGGAATAGTACTCTATACTGACGTCAGCCAGCATATCATGTCATCCCGACGAAGTATAAGACATGAGGACTGCAACCAAGATACTGATACCAAGGGGTCTCATCTATTTTATCCAGAAGTCCTGGAAAACAGATCGACTCATGCCATCAACACCCCCCATTACCTCCCGCCCCGTGGTAGCCATCGCAGGCGCCACAGGGCACCTAGGCAAACACGTCACCTCCGCCTTCCTCTCTCCCCCCTTCCACGCCTACTTCTCGGAGATAATCCTCTTATCCAGACATGACAACCCATCCGTCCCTCCAGCACCAGAACATTCTGGCGCAATGGTGACAGTCCGGAAATACGACGAGGACAACCTCTCCGCAGCCCTGGAGGACGTCGACGTGCTCGTCAATACAATCGGCGCATCCGGCCACGAGTTCAAGGAGAAGCTGCTCCGTGCGTTACCCTCAACCGGGGTCCAGGTCTACTTTCCCTCCGAGTTCGGGGTGGACCATTACGTTCATGACTTCCCGCATGGGGAATGGGATCAGAAGAAGAGGCATTTTGAACTTGCGGGGCGGCTCATCCCGCAGGTGAAGGTGTGCAGGGTGTTCTGTGGGTTGTTTCTGGAGGATAGTATCGGGCCGTGGTTTGGGTTTGATACCGGCCGGGACAGGTATGAGAGTGTGGGGAGTGCGAAAGCATTGGTGTCGTTTACTGGATTGGAGGATGTAGGGAGGACGGTGGCGTCTTTGGCGGCGATGCCATTGATGAGTATTCCGGAGGTGGTGCACATTGCAGGTGATACGCGGTCGATCGAGGAGATTGCGAAAGTCATGGAGGGTGCAGGGGCTGGGCCGATTGAGATCACGGAGGTTGATCTGATGAAGTACAAGGAGGAAACGACGGGGAGGGTCTCGAATGACCCGGCCAGGTATCTGCGTTTCCTGATGGGGGAGAATAAAATCAATCACACTCCGTCGGGGCTGGGGAGTGATAATGACTTGATCAATCTGCACGAGAAGACCTGGAAGTGGAAGACCATGGAGGATCTAGCCAAGTCGACCAACGGAAGGCCGTGGAAGGACGTTCAGTGGCCTCGTGAGTAGTCATATTTGATGATTCGGTTTGCAAGTTACGTCAAGTCAGAGCACCATGTTCAATTCCTATCCCTAGCCTACAAGGAAATATACATATACCAGTCTGTTCATGCGGTCTGCCCCAGGAACTTGTACGCAAGCTCATCTAATGTGATTTATGCGCTGGAAGAAGGACTAGCACCAGAGGGCATCGCACCAGAAGGAGCAGCCCCCGAAGGCATGGTACCATTCATACCTCCACCACCAGAACCACCAAAGGCCGAGCTGGCGCTGTTCTGGTGTCCCCCGTCTTCCTCATAGTACGCAGCAATGCTGTAGTACGAGTTGTCAGTGTAGTCGGCCGAGGCATTAATACCGATTTGGATCCACGCGAAGAGACCATCCTCCAATCCCTCGCCCAGGTACAGGTACTCGGGGAAGGGATCATACTCATCCGACGCCTGCAGAACACTCCACATGTCGTCGGCGTTGGTGGTGATGGCCTGCGTGTTGGTGTTGTAAGGGGAGGTATCCTCGACCGCAGAGCGAAGGACCTCGTTCCAGAAGAGTTGGCCGATGTGGGCAATGCTGCCGGTGCCGACTTCCAGGGTGCCATTGGCGTTCATCGTGGCGTTGAGATGCGTGAGGAGGTGAGTGTGGGTGGCACGTCCGTCGTAGTGGCCGGGGAAGATAGTGTCGAAGGTAACCACACCGTCGTCGTCGGTCTGCTGGATACCGCGGAGGTAGGTGGAGTCCCAGCCGTTAGCAGCGTAGTTGCCGGAGGTAGAGATGCCACTGTCAGGTCAGCAGGGTCCATCCTCTGGGTAAGTGACGAGATCATACCTGTAGACACCGGTGGCATTGGCGTTCCAGATATCCACCACAGCGCCCTTCACAGGCTGGCAGGTGTTGACGTCGATGTACTGCACCTCAAGGGTGAGGTCGACACCGTCACAGTACTTCTCCTCCTTGACGTTCTGGCGCAGAATCTCTCCCCAGACGTAGTATGGGCCGTCGGTAATGGTAGGGGTTAGGATGGCACTGGTGTTGCCGCCAAAAATACGTGATTCGGGCGTGTTGGCGGAGTAGTCCAGGATATCGGTCTTGTTGTGGTTGATGGCTTCCCACTTCTCGAGAGCAGCCAGATCACGACGCCACTTGTGAGCATCTTAACTGTCAGCTGGGAGCACGACGAAATCTAGAGGTCACTTACTAGTTGTGATGCCCTTGCTCTGGCGGAGCTGGCGGGCAGTGCGGGCACGACGAGCGACATTGCGCTGGTTCAACTGCTGTGCCTCGGTGGTGCTAGCACAAGCATCCAGTGCACGCTTGGCTGCAACGGCATATGCATCGCGAGCGCGAATCTCCCGCTTCAGGGCGCGAGCATCGTGGACTTCACCGGGGTGAGCGGCGGCAAGAGTGGCAGCCGCGACGAGGAAAAGCTTGGAAAAGTGCATCTTGTTTTGCTATCGGACAGTAGACTCTGAAGGGACGCTTGTGTGTTTTCTCATACTGGCATAACAGTGGCCAGCCTTTTATACTCCTTTGGTTGCTGTCTCCCTGCGTTATAGCCCCAGGAGAGGACCCGTGCCTTCGAACATGATGGCCCTAGCCGCGTCATCGTCTCCAGATTCAATGACCGCAGGACCACGCAACGGAGGCATATGTTGCCGACTGTGCCTGACTTAGACCTGAAGAGACGTAATCCGCGATCAGCGATTGATTCACAATGCTTGGTTGTAGCTTGGCTTGGTCAAGCCGCACTGAAGAAGCGTAATGTGAGGTCTTGGCGCCGCGTATATGGGATCCGCTTCCTGGCCATCCGCAATGATGGGGAAGAGACGAAGGGAAATGATCGACAAGGACGACGAATCATGAAACGGGTATTATTCTCCGTTAGTTATGCATCTCGGAGTGCTGCCGTTGGCTCCTCCTCTTCTGGTTTGGTAGTAGACGTATACAAATCACCAAGACAAGTCCAGCCAGCTGACGCTTATGGAGTATAGGCGACCCCCTGTTAGGCAACAAAATAAGCATGCGCAGATTGTAGGTGATCATAGGTCAGCTTCATTTGCATATTCCAGGTCAGGTCAAAAGCAAATGGAGATATATTGTTGAACTACATATAGAATGAAGCTGCCCTAAGCTTAACATAGTAAGTTAGCAACTTCTCTTATACACTGTTATAAAGCTTCTTTACTGAGCGCGAGTGGAGCGTTTGAGCATCACGGCTGTATATTCAGTCATCTTGGAATTCTTGGACCTGAGTAGACAGAGAGGACGCTCCATACGTTCTTTTCGCAGTCTGTTTCGAGCCAGAAGCTGAATGTAGCAGCTACAAGCTGACTTTGACCAATCACAGGGGAATACTCTTGATGCCTCATATTTCAGGCATTTGATTCTCCCAGTCATATGGCAACCAGATCGGCGACTCAAAACTGAGACATCTTGGACTAAAGTAGGGTCTTAATGTCATTGTACAAAGCACTGAATGAGACTGCTCCGTTCTTTCTATCCGCGGGTGAAAGAGAGTAGTTTGTGGGTGGATATCATCATCCCAAGTCTCGGTTCAGCAGAGCATCCTTACAACCTGCATGGGGGATAGATACTAGAGATAAGGTGAGTGTTATTGTCTGATGTCACCACTTCCATTTTGTCATCCATGATTGTTTATGACCCTATCCAAGCGAAACCAGGAAACAGCTGTGGCATGCGTCCTCAGCCCACGCCGTCCGTGGGGGCAGACTTTGCGGATGCGTGGGGGTGCAATATTCAAGGTTCAGATAGGCGAGACGGCAAACTCTGAGAATGCGGGGGACTTTTCCGGGGACTGGGAATCGGTCGGATGGAGTAGTCTACAGCTCTACCAAACAGTATATCGGCACGAATCTCATTCGCTCATCAATAGCCGGCTAAGCTCGCACCGCATGAACGTGAATGGCCCAGACTCACTGCCGAAAGCTTCAACCCCGTCGAGAAATCAAGGACTCTGCGTGGGGGTACACATGCCTATTGATATAAAGAGTTCAGATCGTCCTGTTGAGCAGACTTTCACAACGGCCGGACATTGGGCCTTCTAGTGCTTCTATTCAGTGAAACATGACCTCCAAACCAGCCTCCTTCCACGATGAAGGCGAAATGGCCAAACCCACTGGCCTCGACGCCATCAACACGGTTCGGATTCCCCTGACCGAAGAAGACAGCAAGCGCATCTGTCGCAAGACCGACCGTGTTATTCTTGCTATTCTGGTTTGGGTATACTTCCTTCAGATTCTGGATAAATCTGTGCTCGGATATGGCGCCACATTTGGCCTCCAAGCCGACGCTCACCTCACGGGCAACCAGTACTCGCTTGTTGGATCAATCGCCCCTATCGCTCAGCTGGCCTGGCAACCATTCTCTTCATTCTTGATTGTCAAAGTACCGCATCGGATTCTGATGCCTTCCTTGGTCCTCGGATGGGGCATCGCGCAGACATGCATGGCGGCATGCCATAGCTTTGGCGGCTTGATGGCCACCCGGTTCTTCCTTGGTCTTTTCGAGGCTGGCTGCTTGCCACTGTTCTCCGTCATCACGAGTCAATGGTATCGTCGTGCGGAACAGCCAATCCGTGTCGCAGCCTGGTACAGTACCAACGGGTTGGCGACGATCGTGGCCGCCGCCCTGTCCTACGGCCTGGCACACATCAAGTCGGATCTGCTCAAGGAGTGGCAGATGTAAGCTACATCACCTAGTGCTGAAATCACAGCTAATCAGACCAGTATCTTCCTCTTCGTCGGACTCATCACGGTCATCTCCGCCCCATTCGTCTACTGGAAACTGGACAACGACATCGTCTCCGCCCGCTTCCTGACCGAACAAGAGAAACTGCAAGCGATGGAACGGCTCCGCGCGAACCAGACCGGCGCCGGAAGCCGCGAATTCAAGCTCTCGCACGTCGTCGAAGCCGGCCTTGAGCCAAAGACATACCTGTGGATCGCGATGGCCATGCTCCTCAATATCGGCGCCAGCGTGACCAACGTCTTTGGCCCGCTGATCCTCAAGGGTCTCGGTTTCAACAAGTACACCACCACCTTGCTGAACATGCCGTTCGGTGCGCTACAATGGATCGTGATCCTGCTGGCTAGTTACCTGGCGCAAAAGGCCCGGTTGAAGGGCGCGGTTCTGGCGGCGTTCATGGTACCAGTCGTTGCCGGGCTGGCGATGCTGCATGCCCTGCCGCGCAATGAGTCGGTGCAGGGCGCGCTGATGGCGGGATACTATCTGCTTGCGTTCCTGTTTGCCGGCAATCCGCTGGTGGTGTCGTGGATGGTTGGCAATACGGCCGGTATGACGAAGAAGTCGGTCGTGATGAGCTTGTACAATGCGGCGAGTGCGGCTGGTAATATCGTCGGACCGCTCCTGTTCAGCTCGGCGGATGCGCCGACGTACCATCCCGGTTTGCAAGCTTGTCTGGGGATCTTTGTGGCGCTGGTGGCTGTTGTCTTGATCCAGTGGGCTGATCTGGTCCTGTTGAACAAGCTGCAGGAGAAGAAGCGGGTGCGGAATGGGAAGCCGGCCAAGATGGTGGATCGCTCGATGGAGGATCACTACCACGGCGCGGGAGGCGACGAGGAGGGTATGCAGGAGGAGTTGGGCAATAATGGACTGCTGGATGTCACTGACCGGGATAATGACGAGTTTGTATATATTTATTAGTATTGAGATAGGCCAATGAGATTCCATCCATCTCATATGCTGTAGCCTAGCCCAGTCTCAAACGAGGCCCAGTGATTGGCCGCCTATATTGCCGAATACGGGCAATAAGAAGCATCACGATAGTTCCCGTTTTGGTGCGCCCCACACGTCACATGAGGAGCTCACATGTTAAAACGTCATCTCGTCGCTTTCACCGGAGATGCATCAAGTCAGGCAATATTCAATATGAGGTTTTCTCAAGCCATGTCGAAGGCAGCATCAACAGTAGGACCATACGCAGGCAGATACATCTATCCCGCAGAAACCTCTCGTCATCTCGCTACCCTTCTGGG